AGATCTATGTCGGGTCAGAGGCCGCAAAGGCACGACTCGGTCCAATGCAGCGGCGGCAGTTGTCTCCCAAGCCGCCGCCTGGTTTTCCGCCGAGTCGTGGACCAGATCCTCCGGATATGGCCCAAGCTCCGTCAGGAACCTTTCAGGGTCCATCAGTCGCCTGGGACGGAACCATCTAGGCGGTTCCGTCTCCCTGCGGAGGGGGGGGGGGGCGGTCCGGAAGGTGGAAGATGAAAGGTGGAGGCAGATGGGTAACTGGAGGTTCCATTCACATTTGTCCCAGCATCACCATGTGTGCAACAGGCACGGGTCATTTTAAAAGTGTAGAGGGAGCCTTCAGGGCCTCCTAAAATGCAGCTAAGTGACAGTTTCTAAAGTTATTTCCTCAAATATTGTTTTTAATGTGCGTAGTTTTATCATTTTATTATGGTTTTTATGCTGTTTTTATTTTTGATTGGGAACTGCCCAAAGTTGGTCATAAGGTGGGCAGCTACATAAATGGTTAAAATAAAAGCATAGATAATATATGTGCCTTTCCCAAGGAATTCTACTGTATTCAGAACCTGGAATTGTGCCAGCATTTAGACACTTTTCGCCCAGGTCTCCCTTACTGGGTTCCCAGGGCTGAAAACAGCCTTGTCCACATGAAGGCTGTCTGGTCCTATAGCTGGATTCAGACTCCCAAGCAGGAGAGGGACAGTGGCACTCATTACCTCTGCCATGTAGGCGATGGCATATGTCTCGGTGTGATTTTTCTGAAATTCCTGTACCACCTTCAGGAAATGCTTCTCCCACAACAGCACAAAGTCAGAACGTGGGTCACTGGAGAGAAAGTTGTTCAAGGAGAAGGTGAGGATGAGAGCTTCTGCTTCGGAGTACTCCAACCCTGTCAAGCATAGAGAAAAGTCACCCAAATGCCGGAGAGGAAGGCGCACCTTCTCATTCCAACCGATGCTTCCAACGGAGTCCCCAGGCCAGCGAGGAAAGGGCCCACCCACCCCCAAGAGGGAGCCCAAAAAAGCCCAAATCGGGCCCTGGGTTCTAGCGATCCTATTAGAAAATGGCTGGTGGGAAATACATGGACCAGATTATTCTGGACTCCCATTTCTCATCAGAATAAGTTGCAAACTCTACCTTAGCCCTGATTCTAAAAAAGCTGCTTTTCAGCCTTTCAGGATTCTAATTCACACAAAAAGACCTCACAGCCCTTAGTGGTTAAGCTCAGAACTAGTGATGGATTACAAACATCACACCCTGTCACAGAAAACAACAGTCATTGTGTGATCCATGTGGAAACTTTAAAGCCACCGTCTCTATTTCTGCTTCTCCTTATTTTCCTCCCTGCCCAAATACAATGAAATACACCGACAAGCATTCCTTCTTTTTCTGCTTGACCAGCTGCTGCGTGGCCATCTGTTTCTGCTTCCCATCCTGTCCAGTTTTTATATTTTTTGACAATGTAAGAATAAGAATAGAATAGAGCTGGAAGGGATCTTGGAGGTCTTCTAGTCCAGCCCCCGACTTGAGCCGGAGAACCTATCCCATCTCAGACAAGTGACTGTCTGGCCTCTTCTTGAAAACCTCCAGGGACGGAGCGCCCACGACCTCTGGGGGCAAAGCTGTTGTTGCCAAGAAAAATCTCCAGCCTCTTGTACAGGGAGTCCTCGATTACGACCCCACAATTGAGTCCAAAATTTATGTTGCTGGGTGAGACATTTGTTAAGTGGGTTTTGCCCCATTTTATGACTTTTCTTGCCACAGTTGTTAAGGGAATCTCTGCAGGTGTTAAGTTAGTAACATGGTCGTTAAGTGAATCTGGCCTCCCCATTGACTTTGCTTGTCAGAAGGTTGCAAAAGTGGACCACACGACCCCAGGATGCCGCAACCGCCATAAACCTGAGTCTCAACCTTGACCATGTGACAGTGGGGATGCCGCAGTGGTCGTAAGTGTGAAAAACGGTCATAAAGTCACCCCCTTCACCTCTGTTGTAACTTTGAATGGTCATCAAATAAACTGTTGTAAGTCAAAGACTAGACTGCAGTTGCAGGCAGTCCTTGATTTACAACCATTCATTCAGTGACCTTCTGAAGCCGACAACAGCACTGAGAAAAGTGGCTGAATGACCATCTCTCACACTTCGACTGTTGCGGCATCCCCACGGTCAAATTTGTTTTGCTCTAAATCTTAAACATTAAGATTTGTTTCTGAACTGCTGATAAATCTTTTCTCTGTCTCTGCTGCTAATATATTCCAACTTGTGGCACTTATTCTGCACCAACTTCTCTGTAAGAACCCGAGATTCATTGCAAATTCAATGCGATAAAATTCTCCAACTGAGTATGAGTGCTCCTTTCTTTCTGCACATATACTTTCTAGAAAACCATATTTTTAATCATTTCTTTTCTCCCATTGCTGCTGTTTCACATCTCCATAGGCGGATGGCCAGTGGGTTCTTTCTCACAACTGTGTTAGTGCATTCCAAAAAATAAATGGATACCAGTTGCACCGCTCCTGCAATTGAGCATCGCTACGCCTTGGCAAACTAGTCCTGCAGTGCCGTCTGGGACCTACCATAACAGTGGCGGGATGGGAGGGCTTTGTCCCACCTCTCCCAGGTCAACCAGATGGGAAACGCAACCAGATGAGCTAATTCTACTTTATTGTAAAGTTACATTAACAAATTTTGCAAGTCTGAAAGTACAGATCCCCCATCTTCTCTTTTCTCAGCCTGATCCTTGAGGGTTAGGGTCCTTCCTAAGTTCCTTTCTCTGCCAACTAAGGTCAGGAGGCTCCTCCTCCTCTTGTCTGCATCTTTTCCTCTTGTCTCCCAAGGACCTTCCCACGTGCCATTAGACTTGGGCCTTTCCTTCTGGCTTCATCCCACCCCTTTCCCATGCCTCATTCATTGGCCAGTCACCCAGATTTTAGGGAGGGAGGGAATACAAAACACAAGAATCACAGTTAGAGCTCTTCTAGTTAAAAAGTGAGCTTTCTCTGTATGACCCTGCTTCTTTCTACACTACGGTTCTCCAAAATCATCAATATTGATCCCCAAGGGCTGATGGGTGGTGATATTATTATGTATACTACAAGGTGAAATCACAGCTGCCAGTTCTTTAGCTGATGTTGGCCTTCATACGCATCAAGTTCTTCCCAAGAACCTAGGATGTTGTGGCTGGCCGTGTAGATAGTCAGATATTGCAATTGGATTTAGCATTTTTATCCAGCTACTGAGACCTTCTGAAGGACCTGGGATAGGCAGATATTGTTTGATGGTATAAAGCACGGATGCCAAACTCGCCGTGTCACATTGTTGTGACATATCGCAACTTTTTTTGCATTGACGGAGCTGGGGTGGGCGCGGCCTCCGCATGATGCAACTGGCCCGCAGGCCGGCAGTTTGACAGCCCTGGTATAAAGGGTATAGCTGCAGGATATAGGCTGTTCTAAGTAAAGTTGAAATTGATTGAGAATGATTTTTGTCAATACCAATGGTTGCTCCAGATGTTTTGGGATAGCACCCAAGGGGCCTATGACTATTGATGCTACTTTGCTTTCTTTTGCCACCATTGTTCTATTTGCAAGTCTTTGTATTTTGTGATTTTCTCCAGTTCATTATCTTCTATTTTATTGCATCCTATTACTATTATTATTATTATTATTAGTTGTAATACTATTAGTTAAAGTATTATTCATTACATTATTTACATATAATAAACATTTGGGGATCAATGAACAATCTGAAACACCATTATGGGGTCAATGAGTTGAAGAGTTTGGGGACCCTTATTCTATACCTTTCAAACACCTCGCTGATAGATCAATTGTGGAGAAATAAAATAAACATTATTACCACTATTATCCTTAGAGGATTATCATTCTTCTGGAAGATTAATATTTCTGGAAAAATGGGGCTTGAGAGCCATCGACCTCCTCACACATTGAAATATATTCATATTCTATATATTCATGACAATCCTATGGGTTTAAAAATAGGTCTGGAAAGCACTATATGATACCAAATAAAATTTTAGGTAACCTTCATTATTGGAGGAAAACTATGATGAGGGAGAATGTATCCAACAGAAGACAACAACACCACCCCAATATCCCCTTCCTTTCCCCATCAGTAGCAGTTCAATTAAGCAAATATCCTGGGGCCAGCATGCCAAGGAGAACCATTTCAACCTGAGGTACAACCATCTATCAGGAAACCAATAGACTACAATTAAAATACAATGCCATAAGGCTGAGATGGGGGAAGAAGAAATCTTCCTCTGACAGAGTTCACTGAATTCCTGGGATGTTGATTTGTGAATGAAAGGTGGGGAACTTTCAATGGGAAGAAAGGACATGAATGCAATAAATACAACAAACGATGCTCAGGTAGAGGTCCATGCAGCAACTGAAGGTCCTCATTTTTCAATCCTCTTCCACACTACATTGGCCCAAAGGTCTCGTCAAGAGTTCTTTGGCCAAAGACTCAGGAAACTCTGGCCAAGAAGATGCCCCCAAATTTCCTTCTGCCTTACCTTATGGTTTCTCTTTTTTAGCAAAGATGTGACTTTAGCTTATGTGCAAAGATTTTGAGGATAATCCTGAACTGAGAAATGTCAAAGCACCTCTTTGTATGTATTTCGACACTTATAGATTTCTTAATTCAAATCTAAAGAAGGCACAGCTGAGACCTCAAGAAACAGAAAAATAACTAGAAAGCAATGCCAGCTCAAGGTAATCTACTGCCAGAGCCCGGTAATGGCATGGACCTTCCTGCCACAGCTGGTTCACCAAGGTTATCAATGATTCCATTCTATATTCCAGCTGACCTCTCTTCCCCTGACTAAACAGGGCGAGTCCCATTGGGAATGACATGAAAGAGATGGCCACTGCTGTCTGGACTTACCACCTGGGAGGGAGTAGGCTCTCCTACCTGAGTAACCACCTACAGCCAGGAAGGGGAACACGGGGGCTCCGTAGTCTGCCATACAGCTCAGCTTCAGCTCTGTGATATCTTGAAAAGAGGCTGGAGAGCTAAGGTAAGAGCAAAGAAGAGAAGAACACACATTGTAAGATGGGGGTGTGGTGGCAGAAGGGAAGAGCTTTCCCTTGCAAACATGGGAGAAAGAACAGCCCCAACAGCCCCATTAACCAAGAAAACACCTTACATGGAACACCTGCAATGACTCTCTGTAGGCTTTAAACAAGGAAGCGGAGGGGAGGTAGAAGAGGCAGGACCAGCCAGTGTCTGTGCTTATTGGTCAGGCTCCCCATATTGTCAGTTGCAAAGTCCCCCCAAAAGGTGGGCAGCAGCCTGTCACCTGCTTCCCAATCACCAGGACCCAACTGAGGATGGGCCACTCATCTCTCTTCCCTTCAGTTTAGGCTAGCTTGGGAGGTGCCAACAGGAGGTGGGTGGAGGGGCAGCCAGCAAGTTTAAAAAAGTCCAGCCCATCCCTATCCTGGTGCCATGCCTGGAACGACATAGGGCCAAGGAAGGCAAGGGGCACACTCCCAAAGCAGACAAGGCCAGCTGTTGGGGCACAAGAGGCAGCAGCAGGACTGGCACAGAAGACAGCAACTTTAAACTGACATTCTTGTGCCAATTCAGAGATGGGCGAAGAAGACGAATGAATGGATGGCAATGAAAAGGAAATAATGTCACCAAAACATGGCACCAACATTTCCTTCCACCTGCTACCCTTCTTAGCAAGGATGAAAAGATGAAACAAATCCACCCCCCTCACACATAGAAGGAGGCTTCCCAAACGCACACTCACTGGATGCAGTAAAGGAAGTGGTCTCTCCAGTCAACCGTGCCATTCATCTTCCCCACGGTCTGGTTGGCTTTCCTCTCCAGGAGGGTGTGATTGTTCTGGAAGAACTGCAAAAGACTATTAACACAGCAGTCCGAGAGACTGGCATTCTGGGGATTCAGAGGTGCATAGCAAATGTCCTGCAAGGTGATGTTCTGATGATGCTTTTCAGACCAGATCTTCAAGTCCTGCAGTTTGATTTGCAAGTCCATCAGGTCCAGTAGCACCTCTTTAGAGAGGACCCCACTAAAGTTCTTCTTGCCCCAAAAAAGAGAATCATAAATGTGGCTTGAGCGGTTCTTGGCTGTCAGGATGATTTGGTTGGTCCGGAAGAAGGGCCCAAAGTGCTTCTCGTAGAGTGTTTTTTCCTGCCGGGCCTGGCTGTCAGGAGAGGCCCAGAGCTCCAGAGGGTCCGTGGTGAGTTGCATCCAGATCATTCCACTGGAAAGTCCTACCACAATGGCTAGAGAAATGATAATGACTTTGATGGGATTAGAGGCCACCCATGTGCCCCAACTGCTGAAGGCCTCAACTAAGAAATCATACATGGCCTGACTCACTTTCTCAGAGACAGTCAACTTAGTCACGGCATCCTCTCTGTTGTGTCCCTTTTGCTTCTCAGACGAGGGGCACCTTTGCCACAGCAGCAAGGCCATAAATGATAGTGCAATAACACCAAAGAGAAGGACACAGACAAACAGGACCCCATCCATTCTCCCCACTTTGAAGGGCTGATATTCAGAAGGAGGAAGCTGGATGGCCGGACACGACTGTTCACAGTCCGAGCAGGAGCACTTTGTGCTATTATTTACAGCCTCACTGCATTTCCAGACTGTTGTATTGAGTGGCAAAATCTTTCTCTCCTCAGTTGCCCAGTCCCCTGGTTTCAGCTGGAAGGAGACGGCCACAGGGACCATCCCATTGCTTGTATCACCTTGGAAATCTAACCATCGCTGAGTGTTGCATGCAGCTGCCCCGTACTTGCCACATGAGGCACTCGTGACATAATCTCCAGTGGCTGGCAACCTGACTCCCTGGCATGACTGAAAGATTCCCTCAGCAAACTGCTGGTTGTAGTAACACTGGAACTCCAGCACGCCCTTCACCGGAACATTCAGGATGGTGTGATTGAAGTACCGGGTGACGTTGATGAACAGGCTCTGGTCTGGGCTGCAGACGTTTTGGCAGTGGATGTTGGAAAAGTTCTCCTTGCAGGCTGGGCAGCGAGACAGAATGGCCCAGGTCAGCGAGAGGCCCTTCTCCAAGAAGTATAACTGCTCTTGCGAGCAGCAGGCGTAGGTGCTGGAGGCTCCCTTGAACAGCATCGGGCAGACCTTCTTCAGGAAGCTGAGGTGGGGGCCATGGACCAGCCGGGCTGGGGTGTTGGAAAGGCAGGGCACATTGCGCTGGATGAGCCCAGGCCCAACTTCAGGATTGTTGCCACAGTCACCATAGAAGGCGCAGTATCCTGCCTGATGGATTTCGGTCAAAGCAGCAGCCTAGAAAGCAGAGACCCCAGAGAGGCAGGGAAAGCTCGTTACTCCCCATGACTGTCGAGGGGGGCATATTTGCGCAGGTGGGAGAGGCTGGGGAGGAGGCCAAGGAGAGGTCCCTCTGCCCCAATAGCTTGCAAAAGGAATGGAAGGTAGGACTGCAGATATGACCAGCCTGGGATCAAAGCAAGGACCTTTTCCCCTTAGCAAGCAGGGCTTCTTCCTCTTTGGAAGTTCAAAAATTAAAGAATGGAGCACATGGAACATGAACTGCTAGATTAGAATCAGGGGTTGCGGTCTTTCATTTCCCCCTCCCCCAGATCTTCAAAGTTTTATTTCGCCTTCTCCTTCTCACAACTAAGAAAGAATCAGAAAATGGAGCCCTTTCCACATTGCGTTAGGTTCTAAGGGAGGGAGTTGGATGCAGCCTCCCAAATCCTCTTTTTGTTGTCCTTGGAACCATCTTTAAATATGATGAGTGAAAACTGATTTCCTGGCATTTTGATGTGAAAATATTTATTTATTAAATTTGTATACTCATTTCACAAATATTATATGAAAACTGTGGGATTAGCCTTAAATAGAAATGTAACATTTGAAAAACAATTTTCCTCAGATTTGCCACCAAATTCGCCCTACCCACATATGCTCCCCCCATATTAAGTGCAGCCCCTGGCAGACAATAATTTGCCCTCTCCTACTCTATAGAGGAGAAGCAGAAGGTGGTGGCCACATATCCACTTGGAGAACATCAGTAGTAGTTCTCCCCTATTCCCACCCAGGGTGCCAGCCAGCCGTGCCCTTTTCCAGAAGAGGCCACTCATCTTCTGTGGCAGGAGCAAAGCTGAAAACCTTCCTTGTTTTACTAGTCTTTGTGTTCCCAGAAACGGGAAGAATCACGCCAGCCTTGGCTTCTTCTTCATCCCAGAAGGCCAGTCTCCAGGACGGCTCTGGCTTACTGAGACTTTAGCCTGCCGTCTACTTGACACGGACCAAGAAAGGCTGGCCTCATAACTTGAACAGCTTGCCTGTGACTGGACAATCAGGGGACAATCTCCTCCTGAATGAACTTAAAGGATATTATCTTAAACTTCTTTTTGTACAAATCTCCAGTTGCCCAAAACTACTGATATATCTGTTTAGGGAAGCCTTAAGGGGGAAGTGGTACTTTGCAGATAAATTGAGCCTGATTGATGTGTCCCTCCCTTCAAAGGACTGAGGGAGTTCAGAAGCCGAGGACCTTACAGTTGGGGACACCAGGTCCTTCAAAAGCACACCTTGCTACTAAATCCCTGCAACCCACAGCCTCCATCATCACTGCTCACTGACCTCAGTCATCAGGTCCAGACTGGCGCTGAGCACCACTAAGGCAAACAGGACTATCTGCAGCATCCTGGCAAGTCTGGGCTGCCGGCAGGGCTCCTCAGAGAAAAGGGAGTGCCAAGGTGCTCCCTCACTCTTCATCCACTTTCCAGATACCACACACCAATCAGGCTGCACCAGCACCATATCCTGGTTTATCATTTACCTGGAGATAGCATTGGGGTTCTTTCCATGTTAGTCCCCACCTACTCCCCCCCCCCCGGCTTATTTGGGATCTTGGCTTTAACCCAGCTGAGAATCTGAGGTGTGCCTTAGCAGCAAGCATTGTTCTGACCAAGAGAAGGGATCGATAGGGGCAGTTGCTGGCCAGATACCTGAGGTTTATCATCTTATACCCAGGCTTCCTCATATACTGGGCCCACTTTATTATAGCATAATGAAGGGCTGAGACTGCCTCATTATTAATCTTTCCATTGGAGCTTTTTTGGCCTGACAAATAGAATTGAAACAAGAACAGTGAAATCCATTCCCAAGGCAAAATACTGTGTTGGAAAAGAGCACAAAGTTCTTTTATAAGTCCCAGAGAGTACCTGCCTATTTCTTTTTTAAAAAGAAATTGTTCATCTATATATCTGCAATCTTACACATTCCTAACAGTCATTTTTGCCTCTGTAGTTTCCTCCATGATATGAGCAGAGCGCTTGGTGGTAAGTTGCAACTCCTGTAAAATAAAAAACAATAGTAGCAAATGCAAAAATGAACTTGATAGTTCAAGGTGTCTTTTGTGGATTAGAGGTACAACTCGGGCCAGCACTGCGATGCAACTGCCAAAGCCCCCAAAGCGCTTCTGGGCTGCATCAAAATATTATGACGTCAAGTTCAAGGGGTCCTTTTATTTGGCTTTTGTGGCCTTGGTGCAGAAGCTTTAGAAGGGAGAGCAAGGGGGAAATGGCTCGGCTTCTGCCCAGTCAAGCAGCCCACAGCTGAAGGAAGCGAGAGGTGAGGGGAAAGCCTCAGTCGGCAGTATTCTGTTAGGCGGTGCGGAAGGGAGGGAGGGTTGGGGCAATGGAGCAACGGTCATGGTCAAAGACACAACACAAAAAGAACAGTGAGATAAGGACAGGGATGCAGGTTCAAGGCCATTGTGAGATTGAAAGGTAAAAACAAAGAAGCCCAGCTTTGTTTGATCTTGTGATGCACACTCTTCTCCTACTGAAAAGGATGGGAGAAACCAACTATCTCGACGAAGCCACATTGTTCTATTGCCAAAGAAAATGGGACAGTTTTGAATCATTGTCAACAAAACCAGTGAAATAACAACAGCTCTAAGAATTTAAAATGGAGGAACTGAAAGACAATTGTTATTTGCTGGGACTTCGGGCCAAGGGGAAAAGTGTGTTTGGACAGGCAAGAACGTTAAGAAGGTAAGCATCTAAAAGCTCCCAAAATGAATGGAATTCTGTCATTGAATAAAGAAAAGACCAGACTGGCTCCAACTGACATTGCTCACTTCTGCAGAATTGGTTTTCACGGGTAATTTTCGACAGGACCTGTTCGGAGAAAGCATAGCTGCTACACCTATTTAAACAGGGCACAGAAAATGGCTTCCACCTGTCACTTTTCAACAAAAGAAGATTTGACACTCCTTGGATATTTCATCAGCTCGGAGGCTGTCGTTTCAAAGGGAGGCCAGGCAGCCACTTGTCCGGGATCCTACTTTAATTTGGATTCCTGGGCTGAGCAAAGGCCGGACTCGGGGTCCTCAATGGCCCTTTTCCCTTCCATCCAAGGACCCCAAGCCTCACATGCCAAGCCTTGCCATCTGCCTTCCTTTTTCACGCTTCAAATTTTTGTTTATCAAAATATAAAACACAAAGGAAAATAAAAATAATGGGAAACTAGAAGGAAAAAAGAGAAAATATAAGTGTTGACTTCCGACTCTTTTTAGCACAGTAGAAGATAGCAACATTACAGCCTCAACCTTTTACATTTACACATTAGTATGTACTAGCCATTTCTATAATAACAAATCTCTCTAATCAGCACAACCAGAGTTTCACTTTTTCTCATCCCAAGCACAAAATCCAGAAGTGATCTTCCGGTGAAGAGGGCCCTTTCCCCTTCCCTCCAAGGACAGCAAGCCTTTGGCCATCTGCCAAAAGCCAAGGAACTCCTCCCCCCCCCGCCCCCCACCTTTTCCTTAGGACGCCTTCCTCCTCCTCTGAAATATTGCACAAAAATCACCATAGCTCTGGCCCTTTAATATAGAGGGGAAATCCCCCCTCCTTGGTAGGTGAAATTTGAGGCTTACGAAAATGGGGGACCACACAGCAAGTCACTCCAAGCGAGGGCCATTTCTGCAGCCCTGCTTGCCCTCCTGATCCCTGCTGTGCAACGTCACATCAGACCAGGCCACACAAGGCGACACCCTAAGCCTCTTATCTTGCCTCTTCAAGGTTTACAATCCTGTCCTGGCCTTGACGCCTGATAAGGCCAACAGCCCAGGGAAGAGTCCACCAGCTGCATCCCAGCCCACTGGTTGGCAAGGTGCCCTGGGGTCGGCTGCTTCAGCCTGCTGAGAGGAACGGGGCTTTTTCTGGCAACAGGCCCTACCGATGGTTTCAGTTATCTTGCCTCGGGTCATACGCGCAATCCCACACATGTAGATCTTATTTATATGAAGATAGTATACGCCTTTGCTCCATGAACTGTACTGGCTCCCAATGTGTTTCCCTGAGCATTCAAGGTGCTGCTCGTCATGAGGCTGGGAGGCCCTTTCCCACTTATCTGCTCCTTTAAATTCCACACGCACAAGAGCATTTAACACAGTAGAAGTCAGAAATTAGCATGAGCTACTCATCGTATGGTCTTTTGTCTTGGCAAGTGTAAACCGAGCCAATTGGAATTTATTTAGCAAGAGACAGTTTGGCAAGAGGAGCCAAGTGACTTGAAAAAACTGAAAACAGGAGAGGGCGGTTTTATTGCACTTCTGACATCTGGGAAATGAAAACCAGACTCTGATAACTTCCACTCGTTCTGCAGCTGGTAGGAACCAAGGTCTCTTATTTGAGCTTTGCCGAGGTCCGCAATTTCTTCTTGGTGTTCTTGAAGCTGTGCAAGGGGTTCCGCTGGCTCTGCGAAGGGGGTTGTGGCATTAGCCCCCTCAGGACAATCCGAGGCACATGGCTCAGAGAGCCCCGGCCAAGCCCTGAGCTGCCAGGCTCAGCCCGTGGAGTTGCTCTCCAGGGAATGGGGGGGGGTAGCAGAGGAAAACACCCACCTGGCTAGTGGAGGCTGGGCATTTCCGACGCTTGCGTTTCCCAGCGAGAGGTGGAACTGCTGGCCGGAGGCCCTGAGGCACTACAAGAGGAACAGCCTGTCAGCTTCCAGAAAGGCAGACCTCCCCATCCCTTTTTGTCCTCCCCCTGCACATCACACCAATGGGCTTCAACGTCCTTGGGAATCCAGTGAATACGTCTATCAAAAATCCGGAAGGTCAAAAACCCATTTAAAAAGAGAAATGCACATATATACTAGAAAGAGGGGAAGTCAAGTCTATCCTAAATGCGGGGAGATCTTCTCTTTCCCTCCCAACAGGGGAGGGAGATGCCACTCCAAAACGGGATCCCTACCCAAGTATTCTGGGACATTGCGCAGGTGAGGCTTAACGATTGCCGGGTGAAGGGGCTTGTCATGGCGCAGCAAATTCAGATCCCGGGGATTGTCTTCAAAGTACGTCTGAGAGAAAAAGAGCCAACGGGCTGATCAGATGCTACTACTGGGAAGGAGAAGGGAGCAGGGGGGATTGGGGCCAGCTTCTCTACCCCAAACAGGGTACCTTGAGCTTCTCTGAGTTGAGCAATTCTTCTTTGATTTCACGGAGTTGAGCTTCTTTGATAGCCTGCTTGGTGACCGACCGCATGGCATCCTGAGGGGGGGGGGAAGAGAAGGGAGAGAAAGTGCCAGAGGTTTAATAATGCAGTGCTTGCTTCATGCCCTAAACCAACCACTGAAGCAGGAGGGAGGGGAGGCAGTGAGAGGTGTCAGAAGAAGACACATTTTGCTCAGACTGCTGCATAAAGACCTCCAGGGTGTTCTATCATGTCTCTCTCTTCTACTCTATTTGGCCTGGATTCCCTCTAATGCTTGATCATAGCCACTTGCTACAGAAAATAGCTTTCTTTTCCAGAAAGTTTCTCTTGGAACCCTGATGGCAAAGACTCAATGCTCACGATTCTCAGCGAATACCCCAGCTTCTGTTTTCCCCCAGGAGACAGCAATGGCAATGCAGCTCTTGCTTACAATTATGTAGGCGAGAACAGCATCTGCTTTTCAACGCAGCCGTGTCTTTCCCGAGGACCCTATGTTGGTCTCCTCCCTGCAAAACTGCTTTTTACCTGACAGCGGTAGCGGAGTCCCTCGATCTCCCCCATCTGGAACTGGTAGGGCGTCAAGGTGTACTTGCTTGCGCTCTCTAAGGGACCAACCAAAGAAATGGGTCTGGGGGAAAGGCATGCATCGCTCACAACACACTGTGACCCCAAAGCTGGCCAGGGAGGAAGACACCAAGAGACCCGGCCCTCAGTGCTCTGGCTGATTTCTCCAGAGCCTTGGGGACACCCACCCTCTTCCCTGTCCCCCAAACTCTTCCCTCACCCACCGGCCGTAAGCAACTCTTCAATCTTGGCAAGGAGAAGCCTCTCAGAGGGCAAGACAAAGGTCAGGACGGTGCCAGGGTTGTGAACACGGGCTGTCCTGCAAAAGAGAGTCAACAGCTGACACACCAACATCTTGAAACCTCAAGGCAAACCAGGGCAAGAGGAACCCTTGTGCCTCAGGAAATGACGGGTGAGCTGCAGAGGGAGGCTAAGATGGCAGCTGCCTCCGGTCAAAAAAGGGCAGGAGAGCAGCTGAACTTCCTTGAGAGCACCAGCACCTGGTCTGCCTGTGCAACTTCAAGCACAGCACTTGCACTTGCTTTGTGCCCAAGTAAATCTTTGGGGATTTCAGAAGTTTTCACCTTGTTATTTGCATTTTTTTTGTTCAATCCTCTTCAAAGACAATTAAGATCTGGGTGCATCTAGTCCTCCTCTCTCTCTGAGGTTCAAATAAAGACTCAGGAGAATTTGAAAAGCTGCATTACACCCACATTTTAGTCATAGGAAGAGCAAAACAGACCTATGGTAAACCTGTGTTAAGCAGAAGCAGATTTTTTCGATTTTTCAAATAAAACCAGAAACCTGCACCCAGAACAAGGAATATGAGTTCTTGCTGGATTGTTTATCATCCTGGGGAAAGTATACAGCAAGATCCTAGTGGGAAGTGGGCAGAGAAATGCTTCTAAGGAAACAGACTTGTGCGGAACATGGAAGCATTCTCTGCTCCACGTTAAAAAAAAAACCTCAACAGGTTCCAAAAGCAACAGAATGTGCCTTTTCAAAGTGACCAAGAAGCCAAATTTTGCGCCAGATTCATTACCAAAACTGCACATGTCTGGCGTGCCAGGCCAGAGCCTTGAGAGAAGCTGGGCATTCCTGCATTGCCACGTTTCTGCAAAAGATGGCCGCTGCTGCCACTGACCTGCCTGCTCGATGGATGTAGGATTCAAAGGAGGGAGGGAAATCAAAGTTGAAGACCGCGGACACGTTGTGGAAGTCGATGCCTCGGGAGACCCCGTATTCCTGATCTTTGCCCCTGAAAGGCAAAGCAGAAAGATAGATGGAGGCCAAGTCCAAGGAGGCTACTGTTGCCTGGTTATCAAGCCAAAGAGGAAAAGCTGAGGCCTCTTGAATCCACACTCGCATATGAAGAATGTGAAGAATTCCGAGGGGGGCAAAACTCACTTTTCTCCTTTGGTGCCCTTCTTCCTTTTCCTGGTGGTCCCCTCTGGTTCTGCCAGGTCCTGCTCATCTGTCGCAATGATGTAACTGTAGATGCCCCGATTGAACTGGCTGATGATGTGGCATCTGGAAGATTATCAGTCCAGGACCTTTGTGGGTTAGGACTAGTGGGTTCTTTCCAAATCCCTGAGATCATCAAGCCTCCCCACATCCCAGCAGCTGGAAGCATGCCATGTTTGTTTATTCATGTCAGAAGCATCACAATTAAAATAAGGCATACTATATGACACAAAATGTAAAATGTAAAATGCAAGATTAAAATATGTACAAGTTAAACAGATCTTGCCCAGAAACTAGCAACATTCATCGCGTTCTGTCGTGCTGCCATGAAGACCTCTAACCCTAACCCGACGAATGTGTGCTGTTAACACATTCAAGCGTCCTCCGGGCAACAGCTTATGGCTGGGCAATCCTTTCAATCCAGAAGCATCCGAAGCGGAGTGAGCAAGCATGGTATTTCCTGGGAAAACAGCTGCACCCTGTCCAGCAAATATCGGCCATTTCTGCCAACAGCCCTTCCTCACCCAACCCCAATCTCCAGTCTGTGCAGGCTCACCGGGACTGAGCGGGAAGCTCTGAATTGAGGACACAGGCAGCGATTCCAAACTGCTCCAGGAAAAGTTTGAGACGGTAGCAGCGGTCAATCCTGCGGACAAAGAGGAGAACTTTTCCCCGCACCAGGGAAAGCTTTAGGAGGGCGTAGAGCAGCAAGAATTTGTCCTCTTCAGTCTCGCACTGGATCTGGAACTGGCTCAGCTGGGAGCTATCTGGCAATGGTGATTCTTGCAGCCTGAGAGTCACCTGCATAAGAGCAGCATGAACACCTGCTTATTAGACAACCAAAAGAACGCAGCAGGTGGCTTCTTCCAGGCTCCATGCCACCACAGCTGGGCAAAAGCCAAACCCAACTCAAGGCTGGCAAACTGCAGTACAACACCTGTTAAGTCAGGCAAGTACCAAGCCAGCCCATTCCTTACAGCGTTGTGCAGCACCAGCTCCTTCAGTGTCTGCACGTCCTCATTGAAGGTAGCTGACATGATGAAGGTCTGGTAGATCTTGGGCAAATGGCTGCAGGGAAACAAGACTGCATCAGCCCTACGAATGAATATAACTAGCCACTTCTATAGCAAGGAAACTATCGAATCAGCATAACCAAAGTCAAAGTTTCATTTTTTTTCATCACAAGCACAAAATCCAGAAGTGATATCCAAATAAAACACATAAATATATTCTCCTCTTTGAATAGATCAGTTTAACCATTTCTGCTTTATCTTCCTTGCTGTTGAAATAATATGTATTTCTATTTGCACTTAATAATCTTTATAAACTACCACTATTTATATTAACAAAATTCACTGTATGCTTTCAGATTCTTTAACCTTTAAGGGAAAAATACTTTTTTTCATCCATTTTAAAACACTTAAGCTTTTCTTTAAAAACATTTCTAAAATCAAAACATTCTAATACACCTTTTTTTTAAATTTCCTCTTAACATATATACTTTAAAGTTCACTTTCAGATCAATAAAATTCCAACTAACTCCAATTAACTCATTAAATATAGATCACTCCCTCCAAGTTACCCTCATAGAATTTTTTTTTGGGGGGGGGGGATTACTTAAGCATTATATATAAAGGGAAAATATATTTTCAAACTTTAGATTAAGATTTCTTCCAATTACAAATATCAGACTGATGGAAATCTATCCTAATTCCAATTGATTCCTTAAGTCTAAGTCACTCCTTCCAGCTTGTCTTCATGGAGTAAAACCCTTTTCCTCTCTGGAATGTTTGTCAAGTAGTTACAAGCTTCTCTTTTTCTCAAGGATTTCTCAACCTTGTTAATGTCCAGGAGGAAGAAGTCCCAAACTTGTCCTTTTAAAAGTTTCAAATGTTCTTGGAACTCCTCTCTCAATTGTGTTGGGAGGTTTATATTTAAACCATCATAATAAAAATTGGTTTCAGGTTTATATTCCAAAATTACAATTGACTGCATTGTCAGCTACTTGTGAAATTGCCTCAGTGGTTTGGTAACTTTCTACACATATTTGCAGCTTTGAAGTAGTTTGAGGAGGTTTTTTTAACATCCTTAGAGCATAGCTGATCTATGAAGTGATGAATTTGATTTAAATATTTTCAATTACATCTCTAATAATTTGTTCCTCTATCTTCCTAACTCCCTCTTTAAACAAAGAATAGCTTTTTTGTAAGTCACTTAAGAATTGCTGACCAATCAGGAATCATAAAAATCAGAAAAGTTTTAGTCACCCACAGCAAAGCAGACCAACCTACAAATTACTAAAAATAATAAACTAGAACCACAACTTTCTGCCTTTATATTTCTCCATCAATTTTTTGGGCTTCCAGTGAAAAGATGGCCAACTGATGACATGCCCAGGGAAGGATCCCTGAGGGGTTTTTCTCTGGAATGTAACTTCTTCAACTTACCAACTGAAGGAACCGGCATTCATTTAGTTTATATGGCTCTCCTGGGTTAGGGAAAGTCCTAGAATCATCCCACAAGATCCTCCAATATAGCAATGGGCCTGCAAATAGCTTCAGGAGCTGCGTTTTGAAGTAGCCTGAAAGCCAGCGGAGGGGAGGGGGGGCTGCAATCAGTTCGTTGTTGAAGAAGCAGCCATTTTGGAATTTATTTTTCAAATGGACAGTAAGTTGTGCCTTTCATTTCTTAATCATTTTAAAGGACTATTAATCTTTATTAAGCTAAAAGAGGCCCTCTTTAGCCACAGCCTGTTATTCCTCTTTGAAGATCTGTGCCATTTGGGGGATTTCTTGTTGTTAAACAAAAAGGAAAAAGGCTGCTAAGGCAAGCTAAAATAAGAAAGTGTGGACTATCTTCTTTTTTAAAAAAAATGATGGAGGGCAGACTGTTCCAGAGTGGGGGCAACAGCAGAGAAGACAGGGTCAATTACCTAACCAAGTAAGATGGGCCAATGTAATGGGATGAAGACCGCCGTTCCATTTTCTTTCTCTTCCTTCATTTTCTCTTATACTTTTTATTATTTTTTTCCTATTTTCTTTCTTTCTGTTTGTATTCGTTTTTACCATTGTAATTAAAATTCTGAATAGAAATTATGCTGAACCACACAATCACAGCACTTCAGAATCAGAACTCACCACAGGAGATTCTTCAAGTCTTCCTCAAAGCCAAATGAAAAAAGCAAGTCAGCTTCATCTATCACCAAAATTTCTAATGAATTCTGCAGTCTCAAGTTTTGCATTTGTAGATGTGCCAAAACCCGTGATGGTGTTCCTATCACCACATCTGGTTTCTCCATCAAGAGGGGTCTGCAAGACAAAAGACTGGAGGGTAAAGACCAAGTGCTGGAGAAATCGCAGGCATCTCCGTTTGAAAGAATGCTGGGAACACTCAAAGCCAGATAAGCCAAGGCCAGCTCAGCGGCATCATGCAGATGGGAACTCTTTCCTCTAACATTTTTATATATAATTTTTTATTAAGAATTGTGATTATAATAGTAAAATACAAACTAAACTTAAATTATTTATTTACTGTATAGTGAGAATATGACAAGAGGTAAACCTATATATACAGTCCACGTAATAAATACAAAGAATAAAAAATATAGAGAAAAATGAAGAATGTATATTTGAAATATTAAAAATTAACTATATTTTTCTAGATGATTTTGCCTTTAGATTCAAATTACCCATGTAGAGAGCAAAAATGAAATTATTGTCCCTTCTTTGGATAAGTCATTACCTGATGACATTTTATTCGATAATTTTCTGTTAATTCCCAAAATATTTAAACATTAATCACAATTATGTGATCAATCCAAACCATATTAAGGTTTATTGTTTGTTTTTCAAAACTGATGTATTTTCAAATCTAATTTTCTACTTCTGAATCTGATTTTTGGTTTGGTGGATTGCTTTCAATTTATATCTCATTTCTATTATTATTATTATTAGGAGCCGTGGTGGCGCAGTGGTTGAATGCAGTACTGCAGGCTAATTCTGCTGACTGCCAGGGGTTCGATCGTCACTGGCTCAAGGTTCACTCAGCCTTCCATCTTTCCGAGGTTGGTAAAATGAGGACCCAGATTGTTGGTGGCAAAATGCTGACTCCATAAACTGCTTAGAGAGGGCTGCAAAGGACTGTGAAGCGGTATATAAGTCTAAGCGCTATTGCTATTATTTTTATGAGGCAGACCTCAGCTTACAACCACAATGGATCCTGGAATTTTGATCATAAATTGTTACAGTCATAAGTTGAGGCAACGCACCTGGACTTGATTTTTTGACTAAAGTGAATCAGTGTGGAGGTTAAGCGAATCACCTGGTCATTAAATGAAGCCAGCATATCCAGTGGGTGGCTTTTGCTTTTTTCTACTGGAAAATGATAAAAAACATTGGAAATCACAGTCACATAACCACAGAATGCTGCAACTGGTCATAAACACAAGCTGCTTGCCAAGCATCCAAAATGTGATCGAGTGACTACCAGGAGGCACTGGCAGTTGTAACTTCAGAGACAGGTTGTAAGTCACTTAAGAAGTCCAAGTCTGTTATAACTTTGAATGATTAAATGACAGATCATACTTCAAACTTGTACATCTGCTTGAGTTTGTTTGCCATAATTAATTGTCCAATCATAGGTACAGCATGCAAACTTTTTTTTAAGTATTTCTGTTAATAAAGCAATCTCTATCTTAAATTTTCTTTAATGTATTCTAAATAAGAGAAAAGAAAAAAAAACATCCATGGAAGGAAGTCTTCTATTATGGCCACAAAACAGAAAATATGCAGACCAATCCAGGGCCCTAGAAGTCCAGGCATTGCTCTGCAATCCTTTGCCATTTCAGAGCTGCAGAGGGACAGATTCCAAGGGTCCATCTCTCTGTGGCCAGTAGTACTTCCCAGGAAACTGGGCTGAGAAAGGGCAAGTGGATCGTGCGCCTCTAATTCATTCTCACATTAGAAAACATATGCGCTAAACTGCTGATTTGGGGCTCAAATGAGACACAAGTTTTGGTCCATTTAAGTGATGAAAGAACACTGTTTCTTAGCGAAAGCTACCGTGAGAAGTTTTAATTGTCAGCCAATACCGGGGTCCCCAACCCGGGCCTCAGCCAGGCAGGCAGCTCCATTCGCGCGGGTGCCGGCCGCTCGCGCAGATAGAGGTGGACGCCGAACTCTTTCCTCCCCGCGCCGGTCCGCAAAGCCGGAGCTCGCGGGAGGAGAGCGGCGGGGCTCCTCCGCCTTTTCATGCGCTCTGCTCACCTCTGGACGGCCGGGTCCTCCGGGCCGGCGAGGTCCACTGCGCGCACGTCCCGAGCGCAGTAGGCGGCCAGCCGCCGAAGCATCCGCAGCGCCTGCCGCGCCAGCTCCCTGGTGGGCACCAGCACCAGGCCCCGCACCGCCTGCTCCGCCACCAGCGCCGACTAGGAGGGAAGCAGCCCGTCAGGCGAGGCCGGCGGGACCCCCCCCCGCCCCTCGCGCTTCTCCCGCGGCGCTGAAGGCCGCGGCGCACTCACCGCCTTGGCGGCCAGAAGGCGCTGTAGCAGCGGCAAGGCGTAAGCACCCGTCTTCCCGGAGCCCGTCCTGGCCCGCGCCAGCAGGTCCTTGCCCTCCAACGCCAGCGGGACCGCCTTCTCCTGGATCGGGGTCGGTGCGGCCCAGCCCAGCTCGGCCACCGCCTGCGGGAACACGCAGCAAGCGCGCCCGTCAGCACCAGCGCCTGGCGGGGCCACTGTCCCGCCCAGCCTCCCGCCCAGCCACCTGCCCGCCCGGCCGGCCTGCCTGCAGGATCCGCGCGTCCAGCCCCATCTGGGCAAAGCTCCGCTCCGCCGCCGCCGCCATGCTCTCGCTGCCCCCGTGCGCGCCGGAAGCGGCAGCGGGGTCGTCGGGCGCGACCAGAGAGCCGCCCAAGCAGAGCGGCCGGGTACTGCCACAGCACCCTCTGACGGCGGGCAGGGGCGCGGCAGCCTCCCCGGAGGCCCCGAAAGCGCCTCCCTCTCCCGGGGCTTGGGAGAGGGCGAGGATCGGGCGGCCCCTCCGGGCGGAAGGGAAGCTGCTCTCGGAGCCTTCCGCTGGTGCTGGCCGCGTTGCGGGCGGCTTTGTCCCCCCTTTTCCAGGCCCAGCCGGCCCAGCCTGGAGCCCTCTGCGGTGACGGACAATTCCGACCCATGGCGGGGGCCGAGGCTGCCGGGAGCAGCTCTCCCTCAGCCCGGGCTCCCCCGCGGATAAAGAGAAGGCTACGGGCGCTGGAACCCCCCCTGCGCTCATTTCCGTGGATCAAGCGGGGCTTTCCGGCCTTCGGCCGACACAAACCCACGCAGGAGGCCAGTTGATGGCTTGTGGTGGATTTCAGAGCCCAGTAAAGGAGGATATTTGTAGCTCAGGGTTAAAACAAGGCTTCCTTGGTACGCTCGAAGCTTGGTTGTTTTCTTGCACGCGTTGCATTACCCAAAGTAGGAATCATAGGCTGAAGCTGAGAGCCCTGAGGTAGCTCAGAGCACAACACAATTCCAAGGATCTGGCTGTATCAGGGGCACAACACACACTGTGATGGGAGAAGGGGGCTACGTATTTTTATATACAGGTAGTCAGTTTACAATTTACCCCAAAAATGTGTTGCTAAGCAAGAGAGCTGTTAAGGGAGTTTTGCCCCATTTTACAACTTCTTGCCAGTAGTTAAGTAACATGCTTGTTAAATTAATCTTGCTTCCCCATTGATTTTGCATGTCAGGTCGCAAAAGGTGATCACATGACCCTGGGACACTGCAAAAGAATAGGAAGAGACCTGGGAGGTCTTCTAGTCCAGCCCCCCTGCTCAAGCAGAACCTATACCATTTCAGACAAGTGGCTGTCCAGTCTCTTCTTAAAAATCTCCAGCGATGGAGTGCCCATGATTTCTGGTGGCCAGCTGTTCCACAGGTTAATTGTCCTGTTAGGAAGTTTCTCAATTTCAGGTTGCTTCTCTGATCAGTTTCAAACCATTTTTTCTGCGACCATAAATATGAATCAGTTGCCAAGCGTCCAAATTCTGATCACGTGACCATAGAAATGCTGTAACGGCCATGTGAAAAATGATAAGTCACTTTTTTCAGGGCCGGTGCAACTTTGGTCACTAAACGAACGGTTGTAAGTCAAGGATTACCTGTGGAGCAAGAAACCCTGGGATATGGATCCTAGCATTTCTTGTGGAAGTGGCTAAATGGATTTTTTGGGTCTTTTTGTTGTTAAGAATTTGTGGACTTTTACAATTCAGCAAGTTTTCACACTTGCTTTTATCTACTTTTCCCACCAACATATAAAGAAAGCCTCTTTCAAAAAAGCTTTATTTCAATCCAAAACTGTAACAAACGGGCCTCAAGACAAATTTGCCCATGCAAACAGAGAAGGGAAAAATGCCCATTTTCAGTCCCGCTACTTCAGAGGTCCAATTCTGCTGCCAAACTGCAACAGTGTTGTTCTGTAGCTGGATTATTTACAGGTTCTATTTCCAAATTACAGAAAGGCTGGTAAAAAGAGATAACACCACCTGATGGAGAAATCCCTTTCTATGCTCTTCAAGGAATATCTCCATCTGATAGCAACTCTAAGTCAAACTATTTACAAATTTCAGGGGCTTCTTTATTCAACATTTACAACAAACCTGGAGGCAACTTCTACTACTCCCTCATTTGCATTGACTCTCCAGCCAAGACAATTCTGTGCTTAGAAAACACAGAACTACAAAGAATTGAAAACACTGCAAGAAATCCTTCGATCCCCTGGATGTCTGACAACCACTGAAATGCTAAACAATATTTTGAACAATTTTTGAACAAGAAAGGCGCGCTACACAGTTCTGATGTAAATCTATTTATCCTCTGATTGCATTCTGTTGAATAGTTCTAGAGTTATAGGGGCCTTTAGAAGAGAAGCTTTTAGGCAAACTGCAGCTATTACAAATGTAATGGAGGGAATCCTTTCAGTCTTCTGTAAAGCAGCTTCTTGGAATGTTCCAGGAAAGCTTGACAATCGAGGCAAGCTATCCTTACTCACCGCTAGCTTCACGTGCTTCAAAGCACAAAAATATGATTACGTTTGAGATGTTTTCGTGGATTTATATAATTGGGCAGGGGCATTTTCTGCTGTGCTTCTTTCTCAGTTTAGTACTTAAATTAAAATCAAGATTTCTTCAATGGAAAACAACAACGGGGCATTGGTGAATAAATGACCTATGTGATGCTGAAGACATTAAACCAATTTTTTGGCTTCAAAGAAACTCTTGAGGTGCCTCATTTGCCAAATCCCTGTAAGGATAAGGATGACTGTCTGTGCAATGGACCACCACAGCACCCGCTGGTTGGTGCTCTCGCTTGTCATGCGGAACCTCTCCTCTCGGAACTGCAAAGGGAACACAGCGGTCAGCATCAGAACACACCTGGCTCAACTCCTCCTGTCACACTTCATTCACTGTTGCCCTCCACCTGACCAAGGACTAATTGAGATGCAGAACTTTTCCAGTTTTGTATTCAAAGCATCTTGCACCACTTTGCCTACCTTGATCCATGCAGAGAGAAATCCAGCCAGTTTACCCATAGTAAAATACTGTGGGCTTTTTCATGCCCCTCCATCAATAATAGTTTAAAACACTACACAGAAACCAGTTTCTTCTGGCTCAAGACCAACACAACTTCTAAGGACCTTTCCAACTTCCGTGGGGTAATCACGTCATGACATCTTTCTTGTTGCGTCCAAACGTGACACAAGCTTGGCAGCCTTAGCTGTTCTGGCGTCAAAACATTTTTCTAATACCATCCACAGGATGTCTAATGTCAGTTTGGCCACTCTTTATCTTGGAGGGAAATTAGGGGCTGCGTGACTGGCAACGCACCTGTCAATTTCCATCAAAGCAGGAAAGCCCCCCCCCTTGGCTCACCCCCTGGCAGAGAGCCAGTGTGGGGGGGGGAGCTGGCAGCCTCACCCTTTGGTAGTTCTGCTCCTTCTGGATCTGCTCCACCTGGTCCAGCAGCTGCCTGGCTCGCAGCTGCAGTTCCGTCAGCTTGTCCTTGGCGGCGATCTCCGGGTAGTTATTGGCGTGCTCCCCCACCTGGATGTCCAGGTGCACCCGCTGCACCAGAGACACAGCGCGTTGGGACGGGGCAGGAGAGGGGCGCGGCTCCCCCGCTCTCCCCCCGCCCTCCCGCTTACCAGCTTCCCCCCGGCGAAGAGCGCCAGGCGGGTGGAGTTGGAGTGCAGGCAGATCTGGTGCTCGCCGGGCGTGTGCGAGGTGAAGGTGAAGCGGCCCTCCGAGCCGTACTGCCGCGAGAGGATCACCTGCGGGGCGGAGGGGGTCAGCGCCGCGGGGCCAGCCCCCCCTCCCCCCCCTCCCAGCCACCCAGCCGAGGCAGGGGCCGCCTCACCTTGGCGTCCGGGTCCCGGACCTCCACGAACATGCCCAGCCCCGGCGTGGAGGGCAGGAAGGCCTCGGCCTGCTTGTCCCACAGCTGCGTCCTGTAGTTGCCTGGGGGGGGGGAAGAGGAGGGGAGGGGGCAGTTAGCCGGCGGGAGGGGGCGCCCGGCCCCCTCGCCCCCCCGCCAGACCCCCTCACCGATGACCATGGTCTCGTCCGGGATCTCCTCGATGAAGCAGCGCTTCTCCGTCTCCCCGATGTGGAAGTAGAGCGCCCGCGCGACGCGGCCGGCCAAGAGCAGCGCGCCCAGCAGCGCCACGAACCGCCCAGCCGCCATGGCCGCCCGCCCGCCCGCGCATGCGCATGCGCCGCCCGTCACGTGGCTCCCTCCGCAGCCTGCCTTGGCCCTGCTCGGCTTCTTCGGTGGAGGCTGAACCCTGATTAATTGTTCTCACTGCCAGGAAATTTCTCCTTCGTTTTAGATTGGAGCTGTGTTTGTTACTTCTTGTCCTGCCTTCAGATGCTTTGTTTGGAACAAAATGAAAATCGCTCTGAAAAAGGCTTCCGAGACATATAAAACATATAAGAGATATAAAAAACAAGAGGATAAAAGGTCGTTCCAGGTTGGGGGAAAAGTTTACTTATCCACAAAATATCTACGACTCAAGTTGCCTAGTTGGGGCCAAAGTATCTGGGTCCCTTCCCCATCGTAAGAATCATAAACCCAGTTACGGTGGAGTTAAAGCTTCCCAAACGCTTAGGGAAAGTCCACCCCGTGTTCCATTGTAGCCTACTGAAACCCTTTGGGTGTTCTACCGTACGACCTCCCCTAAGAAGGCACCTGGGCCTCTGGTGGTAGCTGGACAGACCCATTACGAAGCGAAGCATATTCTTGATTCTAGACTTTTCGAGGGAAAGTTACAGTACTTAGTGCAGTGGAAAGGATATCCATTATCCAAAGCCACTTGGGTAAAATCTAGTGATGTAAAAGCTGACAGCCTCATTAATAAAGTCTATGATAAACACCCAAATAAACGGAAAGGCAACCCCTAACCTATGATTTTGTTTGAATTGTAGGATTTATCCTTTTTGTAAAGGGGGGCCAGATGTCAACGCTGTAAACATTGGCTGTTCCTGATTTGACAACTGATGACAATCGCAGCCATTTTCTCTTTTTGCTTTTAACATGCTTTTTCTTCTATTTAGAGATTAGGTGCAGAAGAGGGGGTTGGGATGAATGCTGAGCTCAGCTAGCCATAATAATAAACGCTGCTTTGTGGGACCCCAAAGACGAATTGATAACGTTTTGGCAGGCTGGGGAGAAAGCCAGCGTTTCAGGCTAATTGGAGAATGTGATTTATGACTGCTTGTTGGGGGTGGGAATTGTAATTTGTTACTTTGTATGGGGGGAAGGGAAATTAGTTTTGGGTTCAACTATGTAGTGCCAATACTTTGTTTCCTGAATAAAATGTTCTTTAAGGAAGAATTCTTGCCTTGAAGTTCTTTTGATGGGTCATCTATCGGAACCATGACATAAGAATATTCTCAGACTAGACTACACTTGTAAATTTTTTAATTTAATTTTAGTAGATACTTAATAAAACAACCATGAAGAACAAATGAAAAAAGAACTAAAAAAAAAGATTTATTGTAAAATTGAACAAGAATTTTCAAAGCAACATTAAATCACTACATATAAAGTAAACCTGTTACTGGAATTGAATCAAAAGTTGATATTCAACAAAAATAGCCAATGGAATAAGAACAATCTATTATAATGATGTATTTAAAATTTGCACCAAATTTAAGAGAGCCTCCTTATAAAAGAGCAGTCAAGATCTACATTTTAAAACCCAAATCATGGAGATTTGGTCACGCCTTTTCAGATACTTCCGGCTGTTCCATAGCTTGGTGGGTGAAACCCTTCAGAGGTTCCAGTTGAAGCTGAAATAAGGGGAAGCCATGGGCAACTCACAAGGAGAGGAGCAGTTGGCTCAGCCAGGTATGGTAGTGCCCTTGGAAGGTGATAATTCTTGGCTTGTATAGGCCATGCAGTCAGTCAAGATGCTTGCTGTGTTCTGATAACACTTATTTACTTTTTGGAAATGGAAAGTCTTTGTAATAGGATGCAAAGAAAAGTTAATGACTTTTTAAAGGAGAGACTATTTGAGAACTCTGTATTATTTGGTAATAAGAGTTCCTGGCTGCACCTCCCATCTTAATTTATTTTGAATACAGTTTTTTTTAATATCTACAGTATATTCTTTGTTATGAATACAACTTCAAGTTGAATCTATACTTTCATTTATGTGCTATGGTTTCAGTTCCCCTTTGTGTATAGCAATGGGAACCCATTCTATTACTTTGGGGAAGTTTAATTTCAGCACCCAAAGTTGCAACATGAATTGCAACATGCACGAAAGCTGTTGGAAATTAAGCAGGTTTTGTCACAGAACTGCCACGTCTGGCAATAATGTACATTCCAGTTATAGGGTTGTCATGGACCGTATAAAAAAAAGTCAGCTGGGCTGATCCAGCAGAGACGATCAATTTGTTGGACACAATGGAGTCTGGCTGGTTTTCAACAAATAAAACTGTCCTTTTCCTGCTTTCTGTTCTGTGTGCAGCTGGGAAGGAGGCCTGGGCTCAGGGAGCCATCTTCAAGTCACGGTAAGTGTCCTGTGCTCCTGGGGGAGCCTCCTGGGCAAGGGGCAAAGGGGGAGGCCCTGGAGAGCCTTCCACATCTTAGAGCCCACCAGCCTCAGAGAGGCCTCTCCCCGTTCTCCCTCCTCCAGGAAGGGACCTGAAGCCCCACAGAGAAGGGGACTGAGTCCCACTAAGCAACTGTTTGTTCATTTCACTGAAAACCGGGTTCCCCCGTCCTCTTGAGAAAAAGGCGGACTCCGACCTAAAGAAATGAATCTCTGAATGGGTGGAAACAACTTTCTTCTGGTCAAAAATCTCGCTTCTTTTAGAAGGAGAGATGAACTGATGTTCCTCCTCTACGCTGTCATGGCATTACCAGAATATTCTGCCCCACCATTTTGAGATGGTTTGTGAGACTCAAATTGTAGGTCCCACTATGAATACATTTACTATAGTATCAATTGGTAGCACCATTTTCTCCATGGTGAGGCCTGTGTTATAAAAGGATTTGCCACTGGAAGGGAAGCTCTAGAGAAGGGGCTTAAGGCATACATAGGCCTGCTTTCTGGACCAGTGTTTTTATGGGGTTTATTTAATAGTTTAGAATTGTATTGATTTTAGGTTTTGTAAGCTACCCAAAACCACAAATGGAGTGAGTGGCATATAAAGGTAGAGTTCAGTATGGCTTTTTCCCCATTATGAATATGAGGACTTTGCTTCGGTTTTCCTGCCCAAAGGAGATTTGAGCGAATAGGCAAAGGCAGGAGTTGAGAGTGGATGAACAGCAGCTCATACTGTAAAAATCAGACAGCTCTTAAATCAACAAGAAGCATTTGGGCCTACCTGCTCTATAATGTTTTTTATTTATTTTTATCCCACCTTTGTTATTTTTATAAACGATTCAAGATAGCAAATATACTTGGTACACTTTCCTCCTCCTATTTTTCCCACAAGAGCCAACGTACAGATTTATGGCTGAAGAGAGAAAAAAGTAGAGTTTTTCTTTTAAAACACAAATCTTGACATTTCAGACTCTGGGATGTAAACCAGAAATCCCTCTACCTTCAGAACAATGAACTAATAGCTGGATACTTGCAAGCCCCCAACTCTGCACTGGAAGGTGAGTTTTTCCTTAAACTGCATAGAGGAGGGGGAAAAAATCACCTTTGCACCTTAGATTCTTTGGAGGCTTTTCTCCTAAAACCACCCTCGGCTCAAGCCCTTAAGAGGCTGGAGCAGTTCCCTAGCAACTTAGAGGTTTCTTACGGTGAGGTGGGGTGGTTTGCACAATTATGCACACATTTGTAGCTTGCTTTTTTTCTTTTGGGTCTGGCTAGTCTAAGGAAAAGAAGAAATAGGGGAGACATGATAGCAGTGTTCCAGTATCTCAAGGGCTGCCACAAGGCAGAGGGGGTCACGTTGTTCACCAAAGCACCAGAGGGAAAGACGAGGAACAATGGTTGGAAAATGATCAAAGAGAGAAGCAACCTGGAACTAAGGAGAAGTTTCCTGACAGTGAGGACAATCAACCAGTGGAACAGCTTGCCTGCAGAAATCGTGGGCGCTCCATCACTGGAGATTTTCAAGAAGAGACTGGACATCCACCAGTCTGAGAGGATATAGGTTCTCCTGCTCGAGCAGGGGGCTGGACTAGAAGACCTACAAGATTCCTTCCAGATTCTATTCTATTCTATTCTATTCTATTCTATTCTATTCTATTCTATTCTATTCTATTCTATTCCATTCCATTCTCAGTGCGTCTGCTACAAACACAAATAGCTAATTTATCGTGAGATGCTATAATTTTTTTCAAAGAGAATGTAAAATAAAATCAAGAGAAGAACCGATGGTAGAAGTTATAGTTTTCAATGGCTGAGATGCTAGTTTTCTGCTGCCTGGCTTCCTTGCTGCCCCAGCTGACAGGAAGGGGGGAGCACTTTCATTTTCATTTTTACAGTGCCTCATTTCTTTTTCACCCCCAACATACAATGCAGCTCTCACCCCATTTCCCCAACTTCGCTGTGGCTAGACCCCTAATGTGAATTCTTTATTCCAGATCTTATTTATAAAAAAGTTCCTCCAGGTTTCCTCCCCATTTGTGAAAAAATGTTGGTTTGACTCAGAGAAGGGGAAGGAGAATGCCATCCATTGCAGAAAAAAGTATATGAATCTTGGGAAAATAGAATGGGTGAGAAAGAAATAACTCTACCTTCATTTAGTTAGGTATGCATGGAACTACAGTATATGCAGGGTTTGGCAACACTCTGTTTCAGAACCTTAATCACATTAAAGTACATTGCAAGACTCTTAAGCAATCCTGGGGGGAAAAGTGCTGCAGTCCGGGAGCAGTTGGGGGGGCAGCCTTCACCCCATCTCATTTTGCAGTGGCTGTGGGCAACCTCTTTTCAGGGTGGCTTCTATTCCTTTCAAATAAATAGCACTGAATGAAGAATGGAATTCAGATATTTCATATCAGTTTCTCAATTCCTCCCCAGTCATCTTCTATTGCTCTGGAGTACGTGAGCAGAGTTTTTTCATGGGATTGGGACTGAGATATTCATGGTATTTTTCATGGGAACAGAGAGGTTCAGCCACGGGGATTCCTGAATGGCTCCCAAACCTAATTTATCTTGCAAGATTGTTCCAAAAATAAACTGATGAGGGAAGGAAATTTCTGTCTGGAGGGATGAAGCACTTAAGTAAATCAATCCATAAAATAAAATGCTCAGTGGATGAAGAAAATACACAAAGCTGGATTTTTTTCAGGCTGTTCACAATCTTTCCTGCCTTCTTCTCCCTTCCAGAAAAGATTTTTTGGGTCCATAACCGGGCCTTTGGCCAAGAGAACTTCCCCGTCATCCTGAGCATTCAGGGTGGGAAGAGCTGCCTGGCCTGCTCTCCTGGATCCCCACCTGAGCTGCAGTTGGAGGTGAGAAGCAATGGTCTGACCATGCCGGAGACCATCTTTATCTGAGCTACTACTTGGTACTTCCTACACATACTGATTGGACAACAGAGCTCTCTGTGTGTGCACACATGGGAGGAGGGGAGGGAGAGACATTGCAACATCGTTTAGACAAGTTATGTGTTTGTATGGAAGCGTCTCCTAGCAAAGATTACACCCAGGTAACCAGGTTGTAGATCACAGCATTGCATGTCCCATGCATGACCCATGGTAAAGGAGCAGTGCAGGCCAGATTGTACCCTCAACCCATCCCATTTTTTTGTGGGGGGAGGGAGCTTCTCCTTTTCTTCTCCTAATTTGCAGCTACTTTCAAAGTGAAACAGATGGTACCAATTTTCTTCAAGATGGACTCGGGGAGATAGAGACGCTTACTCTTTTTTATTTTGTTCATTTCTCTCATACATTCATACAGACAGAAACCCACAGAGGAGACTCAATGGAGGTGTCTGGTGGAAGGGAGGAAGTTGTAGACCCAAGACAGGGGTCCCCAGACTGTGTCCTGCACTGGGCTTTGGCCTGTTTGGAACCAGGCCGCGCAAGTGGCAGGCGAGCATGCACAGCTGCATTTGTGCAAGAGGCAGGCACTTGCGCATGCAAGAAGCTCCATTTGCGCACCCATTATTCACAGAAATGGAGCTTCAGGTGTGAGTGCCCACCACACACTGTACGTGCGCACAGAATCATTTCCACTTTCCCCTCCTGCCAGTCCGCAAAGTCGGAAAGGTTGGGGTGCCCTGAGCTAAGACTTGAGAGGACCCAGACTCCCCGGCGGGATTTCCCACCTCAAAGGCCTCCATTTCTTAAGCACAGTCTCCCTGCCCTGCCTCTACAGGAGTTTGAGCCTGACTTCACTCATTTTGACTCACTGCAGCTCCTGCTCAGCAGTTCCCGCTGGTGGGGCAAGGTTGTCCCACTGTGCCACTTTTTAGATCCTTCATTTGTAACTGGAAGCTCCAGAGGCATGATAATTGTCAATTTGCAAATAGTGCTGATAAAATTATTTCATTTTGGGGAAAACAGTAGTGTTATTGTTTTTCAGAAAACTAAAATTAGAAAGCTGCGCTCATAAATTTTATGCACAAAACTAATCATGCCACTCATTTAAATACCAGGTCAATCACTATTATGTACGTTCCTCCATAAATTAAATGGTATTAGTACAACTTAAGTAATTAAGTATTATATATAAAAAGCAGTATTTCCACATACTCATAAAAGCACACATCATCGTTTTTTTCTTCAGTTTCTAGTCAAGTTTCTCCTGAGGACTTCAGTAGTTTCTCAAGGACTGAGCTTCAAGAAAGCAAATGGGAAATTGTGTGGAAATGGCTATGCTTTCTCTCTCTGCTCCACAACTATGATCCTGGTTACTCTATAATCATCTTCATTAAGAAGAATCCATGTTATACTCTCCTCGAGTAAACACGTACGGTAGCTTAGGGTTCCTTCACCATCAGTAGCTTCCCTTGTTTTTGCTATTGGAAGCCTCCTTCATGGCAACTTTTCAGCCTGAGCAGGCTGCAGAACGAGAGCTTCTTGGCCCCTACTCAACACAGAGGCCTCCAAGAACATCCCTCTCCTTGAGGCTGTTCCCTTCCCTGAAAACCTCTTTCTTCTCCTCCTCAGAGCATCAACATCACAGACCTGTGCAAAGATAAAGAAGCCTCCACACGCTTCACCTTCTTCGTGGCTAATAAAGATGGAATATGGCGTTTTGAGTCAGCTGCCAACCCAGGCTGGTTCCTCTGCACTTCTTCCAAAGCCAATGAACCCCTTGGGCTGATAAAGAATCCAGGATCTTCTCATCTGGTGGACTTTTATTTTCAGCCTGAATCTTAGCTGGCCGCCCCACCTCCCTTCACGGGACAAAGCCCACTCCTGAAGTCCAGAGTCTCACAGCTACTACTTTCTCTAAGCATTTCTTGCAGGGGGGGTCACTTTTCAGAAGAGATGCAGCGTTTCTAGAGTTGGCTGATATTCACAGCTCACTTTCTGGATTCAGAAATGCAGGTTTTGCAGCTAGCAGCCACAAAGTTACCTGCAGATCTCGAAAGCTACAAGTGCAAAATATGCCAGAAATTTAAATACATTTAAAGTAACTGTATTGACTACATTTAATTCTAATTATTTCAAAATATGCATTAAATAAAAAACTCATTTTGTCTTAGCTCCACATAGTTTTGGAGTGTGAATCCCCAACATGTTATTCAGAAGTCTGCTGCAGCCTGTGACATATCCTCATCCTGTCAAATTGGGAGGGGAGGTGGCGGGGAGGAAGAGGAGAGAGTTAAGGCTGTGACAGCAGAGGGAGGCAGCAAAGGAATCCTTTTCTAACTCCTCACCTTAAGATCCAGGTGTACCTCCATCTCTGCTGATACTCTTAAATGCCAGCTCTGCCTATGATAAATCTGTCTTCATCCATGATTCAAACTGGGATGAGAGACCTGGCATGCCTCACCAAAACCTGGACAGGTGAATAGTGATGAGTGAGCCTCAGAGACTGCATCAGCACAGACCTAAGGTAGAGATGGACACTCTGCAGGTGACCAAGAGTACTATTTATGAGGGCGTGTTTAACAGATATTGCAACTGCTGCACAGCTTCACTCCCATCTGTCCTGCTGGTGTTGGTGTTCCTTAGTCTTTTGATTGTGGTGGATTGTGCTTTCTGGGGAGGGAAGGAACTGGATTATTCCTAAGTGGCCTCTCTCTAGTCAGCAATTTACAGGAATTCCTTGGTTTGTTGATCATGCTACCCCAGAAAGTAGCAGCTCAGATTGATATATTAACTGATTTCAAGTTTTAGTTTTCTAATACTATGGTTCTCTGGAATTGAAGTGCCATGTAAGTTATAGATGTAGATAGGTGGATAGAAAGGGGGGGGGAGGAAAAGGATTGAAGGTGTTCACAGTGGCACCAATCCTAATTATGCCATTGCAGCTCTCTTCCTCCCTCCCTCCTTCCCTCCCTCCAGTCTCTTGACAGTGGCTAAGAACATTCAGAAAATGACAATTTTCTAGGTAAACCTCTAGCTACGTGCCAGTGGTACATAGATGTAATTAAAAGTAGGGAGCAAAAGATCAAGCCAGTTGGATTGCCCAAATGCATTGATATTTCCATTGCTCTACATAATTCAGGCTTTGGGATTATTTTTGGCATCTTATCAAGTGCTTCCAACAAGGCTTGTAGTTTTTCCATGCAGTCCTCCTTCCTCATTCATGCAGTTTTTCAGAAGGCCCAACTAGCATATTCCTCTTGATTTCTGCTTTGTCCATAAAAAATAGAGGACTGTGGCATGATGCAGCTGGACCATCGGATCTGTTCCATTTTCTTGACCTCTGATGCTTGTGACCTCCTCTAATGCTTTGAAGGGACATTTTCAGCCACTGCCTAGCATCTTCCTTGTTTGAGTATTTGCAACAATGTTTTTAGCAAGAAAATAAACATATTTCCAATAAACCTGTACATCTTGATTTTTTTCTGATTAATTTCCCAACTCATATAGGTATCTTTTTCTTTCTAATCAACTCCACACTAACATTCTGGTATTTTTGACTACATTCTTTCAGAGCTAGGTGACAAAATTAATTGTATCCTCAAACGCCTCTCTTTGGACATTGGTAAACATTGGTTGCAAGTGTTGTTCCTTCAAAAGGAGAAAACAGTATTTGAAATAAATACGTTTTATATCAACTGTGATTTCCTGCCTTTAAAATATAATAGGTAACACTTCAGTAATCTCAGAATATTCCACACTGGTGTTTTTTTTTTCTTTTCATAATTTAAAATTATCCAATCTATAGTTTGAATGAAAACAAACTAAACCAGCGGTCCCCAACTTTTCTGACTCCACAGAATGGCAACGGTGGCAACCGCAGGGGAGGGGATGGTTTTTCACATGCAACTTAATCCCACACATGCGCAAATGAAGCTTCACACACTCACATACCACTTGCTTGGACCAGTTCCCAACGGGCCGTGGACCGATACTGGTCCATGGACCATGGGTTGGGAACTCCTGATCTAGACAACCGTTTCTTCTTCTAGAGCAGAAGCCCTAGTCTTAAGAGGCCTTTGCTCATCCCAGCTGATCTGGACAATTTTCACCCAGCCTCCAACCACCTCTTTTTAGGGAATGCCATAGAGTGATTGGTAGCCTGGCAGTTGCAGAGGACCCTGGATGGATAATCTAGACTCCTCCCAGTCAGGATTCAGCCTGGGGTTTGGAACCAAAATGGCATGGATGATGTTTTTAGATGACTTCTGGCAGGAGCAGATTGGGGCAGTGTATCAATCCTTACTCTTCTTGACCTCTCAGTGGTGTTTGATACCACTGCTCATGGTATCCTTCTGACTTGGTTCCAGGAATTGGGGAGAGGCAGCACGGTGCTGTCCTGGTTTTCCTCTTTCCTCTGGACCAATGTCAGTGTTGATGAGAGGGAAGAGATCCAGCCATGGTCCCTATTATGTGGGGTGCCTCAGAGTTCGGTTGCCTCTCCTCTCCTATTTTATATCTACATGAAGCCCTAGGTGAGCTGATCTGACAGTTTGGAATGAGGTTCTATCAATATGTGCAGTATCTACATTTCATGCCTGCTGATTGAAGCTATAGATGTCCTGTCCCAGTGTCTGGAGAATATAGGGGCCTGAATGGGGCACAAGGAGAGGAAAGGGGAGGGGAGGGGAGGAGAGGAGAGGCAAACAAATTCTTACTAATAGAGAAGAAATGATAGAGGGGTTTGAAGTTGTGGAAACTTTAGGAAAGAGTGACCCTGTCGTATTGGAATTCAATATATTGCAGACACAAGCAATAGAACATAATCAAGCCAGTGTCTTAGACTTTAAAAGAGCTGATTTCAACAAAGTCAAGAGAGCTTGAGAAGGATTCCATGGTTGAAAATCTTAAAGGAGAAAACTACTCAAGAAGGTTGGGAAACTAAAAAATATGATTATAAATGCCCAGTCCAACACAACACCACTGAAAAAGAAAAATAAGAAATACAAGAATACACCAAAAGGATAAATATAAAAAAAATGAAAAGAGGGGCACGTAACTAAGGCAGAATACCAGCATATAGCCCAAAGATGAAGTCAGGAAAACTAAGGCTCAGAATGAACTAAGACTTGCAACAAATGTCAAAAATAATTAAAACATGTTTCTTTCATTATATAAAAACAAGAATAAAATCAAGGAAACAATTGGTCCACTAATGGGAGAAGAAGGCAAGGAAGTGACGGGCAGTAGGGAGAAAGCAGAGCTGCTTAATTCTTTCTTTGCATCTGTCTACACACAAAAAGAAAAAAATAGCCCAACCTACCAAAAACAGAACCGTAAAACACAGACTAGGAATACAAATTAAAATAGGCAAAAAATGGTAAGAGAACACTTGTCCACTCTAAATGAGTTCAAATCACCAGGACCAGATGGATTACATCCCAGAGTTTTGAAGGAGCTGGCAGACATGATCTCAGAACCATTGAACCCTATCTTTCAAAGAGCCTGGAAAAGCACTGATGTGGTTCTCAACTTCAAAAAAGGGAAAATAAACAAGTCCAGGAAACTACAGACCACTGACATCAATACCTGGGAAGATCCTGGAAAATATAATAAGCAACAGATCTGCGAACACGAGCAAAGTTATAACCAGAAGCCAACATGAAACAGATCATGCCAAACAAACCTTATTTCATTATTTGTCAAAGTGACTAAATTAGTGGACCAGTGAAATCTTGTGGACATAGTATATATACTTGGATTTCGGTAAGGTATTTGACAAAGGTGACCACAACCTACTTCTTGGTAAGCTAGAAAAATGTGGGATAGACAGCATCACCAGATGGATTTATAACTGGCTGGCAAACATCACTCAGCGTGTAGTCATTAATGGAACTACATCTACATAGGGAAATACATTGTGGGGTACCCCAAGGTTCTGACATAGGCCCAGCACTCTTCAATATCTTCATAAACAATTTAGATGAGGGATTAGAAGGGGAACTCATCACATTTGCAGATGACATCAAGCTGGCAGTGGAATAGCTTGCCTTTAGGAGTTACAGGTGCTCCATTACTGGAGACTTTTAAGAGACTGGGCAGCCATTTGTCTGAAATGATATACGTCTCCTGCTTGAGCAAGGTTTGGACAAGAAAACCTTCTAACTCTGTTGTTCTGTTTTGTTTTGTTCTGTTCTGTTCAGAGAGGAATGGAAAAATCATTTTTATGTCAATTTTTACTGAATCATTTTAGACTTTGTTCAGTGCTTGCTCAGTAAAGGTTAGATGCACTTTGGAAAAGATTTGGAAGTGATACTTTAAAACATGCAGCAGTGAGTGCAGCAGCTCACTTTAAAACTGCTTTTCTTTTAGCTTCACACTTTAAGGAGGTGCTATGATTCAATGTATTTTGAAGCAGCTCTTCCAAATATGCACTGACCTAGTTTTTCTTGTATTAGTGGATGGAAATTGCTGTACATGAGGGGACCTGGTCCTCATCCTACTTCCCTTGTCTTGCAGTCTGAGACTAGTTCTGCTTGGGCTTCCTGCTTCGTGGCCTTCATTTAAAAGTAGCTCTGAGAGGCAGTAGCCACTGCCTGTGCGGTTTGCACTGCTCTCCCAAGAGCTGTAAGTTCCGGTTCAGACAGCAGCACTGCAGCATGTGCAGGAGGCAAAGCAACACTTCTTCATTTGCACAGCATTTTGCAAGACAGAGAACCTTCTCTACTCCTTTGTTTTTGTTTGAATGCTTTTCAAAGAGAGGTCGGTGTCACAGAGTTAGTGGCCTTGAGTCAGGTTGTCTTGCAAAATCATGTAAAATCAGCAAAAGATCAAGCAGGATCTGTCCCCATTCTCACCAGGGGCTCTTGGGAAGCAGCACCGATTCTCTAGGGATCCTTGCTCAGGCCTCGGCAAGATGAAAGGGTGAAAGGTCCGACAGGAGGTAAGTACAGTAAGGAGGAGCCCGAAAAGAAGCCTCCGGAAGGGTTGGGGCTCTGGAAGCCCAGCCAGACGCCTGGGCAGTCCTTTCTCACAGAGGACCAACTCTGGAGTGTAGACAGCTGAAAGCCAAGGACAGGAGGCCCCGTGAAAGCAGAGCTGAGATGGAAGGGGTGCCCAGCCCAGCAATGAAGTCGGGTCCCAATGCTGCCTGTGTAGCACTGCTAACACGGGGGGGGGGGGGGCGGCAACGGTCGCTCTCTCCCAGCACAAGCAAATATGCAAGTCAGGGAGCCCCCACTCCCCCCTCCTCCGCCTTGCACCTCCAATGGAGGACATTTAGCAGGAAACCCTAACCCCCCCCCCCTCTGGGCTTTGGCAATCAGCTCGGTTCCCCTGGGGCTGGGGGGGGGAGGGTCTGGTCAGTCCTCTGGAGGTTCCCCCGTGTTGGGCCTGTTCCGAGGCAGGGCGAGCACCGGGAGGGGAAACGCTGAACTGAGCCCTAAATTCCGAGCCAGCAGCGATCGGTGGGGCTGCCCTGCTTCCCAGAGTCGTGACCTTCGCGCTCGGGCCCTCCAAGGCCCGCCCGGAGCCGCCTCAGGCCGGGGCCCCTTCGCAGCGCCAGGGGGAGCCGGGGGAGGAGAGCCGGCTCTGCTGGGGCTGCAGCCGCCGGCGGGGTTGGCGGGGTCCCCCGGAGTCACCGGTCGGCGAGTGGGCTTCCCGGCGGGGGCCCCGGCCCGGGAGGCGTCGCGGGACCCGGCCGGGCTCGGGGCCGCCTTCCTGGGCGAGGCGGGCCTTGTGCTCGGGCGGCGCGGAGGCCGGAAATGCTGCCGGCTGGCCGGTCGCGGCGAAGCGGGGCTCGCGGTGGTAAGTGGGCGCCGGGGCCGCCCGGGTGGGCTTTCCCGAGGCGGAGCGGCTCCGCCCGCCCCTCTCCCTCCCGGCGGAAGCGGCCAGCGACCCCTCCGGAGGGAAGAGCCGCGCCTCCGCCGGGCCGGCCTCGTGGAAACGGCTTCCCGGGAGCCTGCGGAGCCAGGGGCGCCGAGGGCAGGGCTGGCCGGCACAGCCTCTGCGCTCCGATCCCGGCCGGGCAGCGCTCCCGGGCTCTGGGCTCTGGGCTCTGGCTGGGCTCCGGCGCTCGCGAAGCGACGGCCCCGGTCGGGGGGGCTGCGGGCCCCTCGGGCGGTGGGGAGGAAGGGGGCCGATCCGCGTTTTCTTGGGGGAAGGTGAAGGGCGAGCCTGGACGTGGCTCCTAAGGAGAGAAGGAAGCAGGTCCATCACTTCGCAGCCCCTGAGACGGAACCGGCTCTTTTGAAAGGCACCCTGTCCCCGGGCTTCCCCGTGGAAGTCGCGCGCCCCAAGGAGCGGGCATAAGTGGGTTTCGGGAAGCTGAATCGACCCGAAGGGCGGCCTTCGCAAGCCCCGGGCCGGCCCTTCCGCTCACGACATGCCTTCCCTCCCGAAGGCGGCGGCGCTGCGGACGTTCTCCCGGCTGCTCCTCCAGGGAGCGCCCGCCAGGCAGGACTCGAACCCGGCTCTCCGGCGACCTCCAAAGGGCTGCTGCTCTTTGAAGCCATAATTATGGGGGGGGGGGGGCACGGGGGCAAAGCGTTGTCTCCCCTTTGGGGATTTCTTCCCTGCCTCTCCCGAGGAAGCTAGACTAGAGTCCATTCAAATCTCGGGCCTGTTTTAAGGGAAGGGTTAAAACCATTTGGGAGATTTACTGGAATGCTGCAGTCTGTGCTAAAATAAATGAGCTGATATGCCTGCCCAGTTAGAATGAGTAGAATGCAAGCTCAGGAAGAACAATTTCCTAGTTCTATCACTCCTCACACTTTCCATTGACTTTTTGCCCCAGGTTGCTCAAAACCAGCTGATTTTCTTTTGAACCTGTTTACCCTATAATAATTTCATCCACTGAAGCACTTAATTAAAAATCAATCTTTCTTAAAATTTGTAATTACCCTCAACATTCACTCCTTGCAAAAAGTAAGAATAGCTACCTGTAGATGAAAAGCTGATGCTGTCAAGGCTGGGGTAGTAGAGATACTTCGTCACAAGATTTTGCATAGATTTTGGACCCTCCTCCATTATACTGTGCTATAAGAACAGCTTTAACGTGGCTCTGAGGCAGCTGGAGTTTCTCTTGGTCAGCAGGGAATCCCTATGACAACCAGACTGGAGGTCACTCCTCCCCAGAGCCCGAATTAAGTCTCTATCTGTGTTGCAGGTTTGGATGACCTCAGGGGATTCAACACAGGGAAGGTGTGTGGATGCCAAATTGGCAATGGCTGGGGAGTTCCTGGGGACCATCCTTAACTGGGAGAAGAGGCGTACTGGCAAAACTGCCAAGGGAGCAGTTTAATAGTGATAATGAAGGGCCTTTTCCTTAGCCCCACAGGCCTGGTGGGTCACACTGATGAGCTGGAGATTGGTGATCTCTCTCGTAAGCACTGCCTGATGAGGAACAACCAGCTCCTATGGATTCCAACCAAACCAGGGCTCGTGTCTTTCCATTTGCGGTGACATTGTCGTCTAGAACGTGGGGCAGCCTTTCTTTGCGTCTCTTTCACTGCTGGGCAGAGTTTCTGTCTGAGAATAGAGGAAAAGTCCCTTCCCTGCTTGTCTCAGGAGGCCCCAGCCAAAGCTTAGGTGGGTTGCACTCTTTCAATGTCGGAAGTGTCCCCTCTTTGTCCCTCAGCAATTGAGAGAACCAAAGGAGGAAGATGCTGCTGTACCGTTGTTTAAAATTTGCCCTACAATTAGGGAAATTTTTACAGGCTTCTTTTGCAAAACCACTATATTCTGAGAGTCCAAGTGAAGCCAGTGATACGCAGAGATTGGAAGTAAATAAATGAAATAAATACATTATAAATAAATAACGTGGCTGACTATATTTTAAGACATATTCTGAATATTTAGAATGTTCATTTCCCATCTCTATTGCTTTGTCTGTTGTGGTGCAAGGTCACTTCTTGTGAGATGGGCGATTAAAAAAATAAATTCGATAAATAAATATCTATGGAGATTCTCAGTCATCCACGTCATTTTTGAAGACGTAGCTGAAGAAGCTTCTTAGATGAGAATTGAAACATCTTCAAATAAAAACAAGAAAGTCCAGTTGCCTTCTGAAAAATCATCTTTGGGATTGATAAATAAATGTGCGTAACAATTTTGCTTTACTACTGATTTTTGCAGTAGCTGAAAAAGACAGCAGCTGAATTTGAATGTACAGAAGAGTGAACAATCTTTTTTTCCCTCGTTTGGCTTTCCCTAGTTTAGCTATTTAGGCAGCCCTCTTGGATTTCAACAATTTCAATATTTATTTATTTATTTATTTATTATTTGAATTTATATCCCGCCCTTCTCCTTGCGGACTCAGGGCGGCTGACAATCAATTAAAAACACCACTAACAATCACAAGTTAAAATTAATTAAAATGAAATATTTAAATTGTCTAATTAAAAAGTAATTAAAAACCCTCTAAAAAACCCCTCTTAAAAATTATCCTAGGCCNCAGCTCATTCCAGAGGGTGGGAGCTCCCACAGAGAAGGCCCTCCCCCTTGGGGTCGCCAGCCGGCACTGTCTGGCCGACGGCACCCTGAGGAGACCCACCCTGTGGGAGCGTACTGGCCGATGGGAGGTAATCTGTGGCAGAAGGCGGTCTCGAAGGTATCCCGGTCCGCTGCCATGGAGCGCCTTAAAGATGATAGTCCATATTGTATCTGTTGGTGGTAAGTAGTGGAAGTAACCACACAGCCTAACTAAGTTCTCCACCCCCTATCATTTAAAGATGACTAAAGCCTTCACCACTAAAAGTTTGTTTGATAAGGGGTGGATGAGGGGTGGGAGGTGGGGGTAGAATTAAGACCAGAGTGCCATGAAAAATACAGTTCAAAAAATACACTACGTGGCTCTTTAATAGCCACTTGTTTTTCTTCTTTTTCCCTTTCCCTTTCTTAGTTCATAGATTCATATATATCAATCTGTATTATATTTGTTATAATATCCTAAATTTTGATGTGCAAAATGCTGATGGACTAGCAACTCCTTTGATGGCATCTGCAGGAGTTTATACTGCCATGAGGGGCTGTTTTTCCAGCAGCTGATACTTGGCGTCTTTTGGTTCCTTTTGTAATTGATCTGTTTAATTATTTATATATTTAAAATATTTTGATATTGCTTCTCATTATAGAAAGTAAGCTATTCATTTGGAGTAAGTGTTAACCAGAACATATATTTCTACTTTCTCTTTTGCAGGCCAAACAAGAGAACCATGGAGATTGCTTTTAAAAGGCCCAATTTCTTAGCCTATTGAAAATCAGACTGGAACCCTAGTTGCTTCTGTGCAAGTTTTCATGGTAGATGCTAGAATGGAATGCCCTGAATGCTCCAGTAGCTCAGACTTGATGGATATGCCCTCTGAAGACAGAACAAAGGAAGTGAACTCTGACCCTGGAGAGTGCTTGAAACAGACTTGGGATCTGCTTGCATTTTCTGAAACTTGCCAGGTTGAAAATGCTGTTACCCCTCCTTCTTTGTGTCTTCTACAGGATAGGTTGGAGGGTGTTCACTGCAGAATTGAAACACCCTCTGAAAAGTCCATTCCAGTGTTAATGCAGAATAATTTTGAATTATTGCACCCTGAACTGGGCCACCCTGTTTCAGAAAGCTTGGACTTCTCTGAGAGATTTGGACAGCCTCTTGAGCTGATAAAAAACTTGAAAACTCAGGATAAATGTAATAGTGATGCTACCCAATCTGTTTTTTGGGCTGGTATTCTACAAGCTCAGATGTGTGTCTTAGATCTTCAAGAGGAGTTAGATAAGCAGAAAGAATCTCCGCAGACTCACAGTGTGAATTCTAAAAACATACCAGTGACAGTCATGTCCCTGGACACAGCTACCATCAGTGAACATTTGCTCCTGGAAAGCGATAGTGGGGAGGAGCCAGAAGAGAATTTAGAGAGACAGGAGGAGGAAGAAAGTGAAGAGGAGGAGGAGGAGGTTGAATATTTATTTTTCAATAACCCACTCTTTCAGGAAAGTCCTCATTTAACCAGAACTTTTGAAGGACAAATTCCATGGACACAATCAGAAAGGGAAATTTCCACTGAGAATTACAAGAAAAATCTTAAAAGTGATGTGGACTCTAGAAACCATAATGGTGACTTGTTTTCCCAGGCCACTGTGGCAATAAGCCCTGTGGCCAGGAATTATTTTTCTGTATGTGATCCAGATGCTAATGAAGACACATCCACCTGTTCTTTTCCAAGTTATGTGCCCCATTATCGTTCCTTGTCTCCATTGATAATCACAGAAAGAGATCTTGAAACCACGTGCTCTTTGGAAGAGAATTCAAAGGTAAGAGGGGCTTGAACTGAACTGAACTTGATTTGGCCAAGAGTGATTCAGTACACAAGGAAATTGTCTCTAGTACAGAAGCTCTCCGTGCACATGCTTCTATGTACAGCTGACCGGTTGTACTCAGTGTGTGGTCCCCAATGGAACTGCATCTACATGGAGGGAAGTGTATAGTGGGGTGCCCCGGGGCTCTGTTCTGGGCCCAGTACTCTTCAACATCTTCATCAATGATTTGGATGAGGGGATAGATGGGGAACTGATCAAATTTGCAGATGACACCAAGCTGGCAGGAATAGCCAACACTCCAGAAGATAGGCTTAAGAAGGATCTTGATAGACTTGAACATTGGGCGCTATCTAACAAAATGAAATTCAATGGTGAAAAAAGCAAGGTTCTACATTTAGGCAAGAAAAAACAAATGCACAGGTATAATATAGGTGGTATCTTGCTCAGTAGTAGTAACTGTGAGAGGGACCTTGAAGTCCTAGTGGACAATCATTTAAATATGAGCCAGCAGTGTGCTGCAGCTGCCACAAAAGTCAACACAGTGATAGGCTGCATTAACAGGGATAGAATCAAGATCATGTGAAGTGTTAATACCACTTTACAATGCCTTGGTAAGGCCACACTTGGAATACTGCATCCAGTTTTGGTCGCCACGATGTAAAAAAGATGTTGAGACTCTAGAAAGAGTACAGAGAATAGCAACAAAGATGATTAGGGGAGTGGAGGCTAAAACATAAGGAACGGTTGCTGGAATTGGGTATGTCTAGTTTAATGAAGAGAAGGACTAGGTGTGACATGATAGTAGTATTCCAATATCTCAGGGGTTGCCACAAAGAAGAGGGAATCAAACTATTCTCCAAAGCGCCTGAAGGCAGGAAAAGAAGCAGCAGATGGAAACTAACCAAAGAGAGAAGCAACCTAGAACTAAGGAGAAATTTCCTGACAGTTAGAACAATTAATCAGTGGAACAACCTCCCTCCAGAAGTTGTGAATGCTCCAACACTGGAAGTTTTTAAGAAGAGACTGGACAGCCATTTGTCTGAAATGGTATAGGGTTTTCTGCCTGATCAGGGGGTTGGACTAGATGACTTCCAAGTCCCTTCCACCTTCTATTCTATTCTATTCTATTCTATTCTATTCTATTCTATTCTATTCTATTCTATTCTGTAGTAGACTCATGAGCATACATCTCCTACCGTGTTTGCTTTACATGAATTTAGTTGGAGTTTTAATTCCTATTTAGGTCCAGTCTTCTCCAACAAAAGAATGTATTCCACCAGCTGCCCAGCCCTCTTTCAGGGCCAGGATGACAGCACTGGACCTGCAAGAGACTTTCTTGTCCAAACCAAAACCCTCTCTTGTTTTGGCAAGCTGTTAATGCTGCATGCAGATGTAGGCCAATGTTTGGGGTACCCTTCTATTAACCACCAGTTATTTCATCTCTTGTCTTGGAAATCTTGAGATTTTGAGACAGCAGAAGAACAGTTTCTGAAAGCAAACTAGAAGTAGCTGCTTGAATATACCATTTACCTGGTAAATAGCATAGATAAGCTTTCCACAAAACCAGGCCCTTGCCTTCAACAAAACAGCATCCAAACAATCTGCAAACCCATTTGCACCATGCCGGACTGATTTTGTTTCTGTCCCCTACTGTTGTGCAGCGATTGTTCTTTCCGCAGTTCTTGGGAAATGCTTGAAAATCCACTCCTGAAGGCAGGGCGCAGAGGGGTCAGCAGCTTTCCATGTTGTCAGCTGCCTCAGCCTTTGTGACTACCAAAATTTATCTTCCAGGCTGAGGGCTGTTTTCTGGATCCATTCCAAGGAGATGTTCTGGAAAACATTACTCCAGGTAAGTCTTGCAGTGATCTTTCTAAGAGCATCAGGCAATGCACTGCCCCATCGCAGAGCTTTCTAAGCTGCACAGCACCACAGAGGCTGTGGTCTTGCAAGGTGTAGAAAGGAAACCGCCTTGTAACTGACTTGTCCCTCTGGTCCAGATGCAGACCTGCCTGCGTATTTGCCAGCAGAAGGGCTGTTGTTTTCCGCCTCCAGCACTTTGATGTCTGCTTTGCTGCAAGAGTCCACGGAGAGCTGTCCCCCTCCTAAGCCTACATCTCCAGGGAAGAGTTGCTGCGTTCCCTCCAGCTTCCAGGTCCTCTCAGGTCCTGCTGCAGAACAGAATCTGCAGCAAGAGAGGTTTGAGCCACAAGTATCATTCCACGGCCACCCTTCATCTTCCTGCACATGGTTAGAGGAGCCTGAAAGAACTTCCTCTCTACAGAAAGACGTCACCAGAGCAGATGTGCACTCCGTCCCATCTTGTGGTATAGAGCGGAAGCTGGTGAGCTCAGTAGAAAGACTCAAGATGGTGGAGTTGCCAGCTATGCCAAGCGATGGGAGGTCAAAAGACAGAGAGGAAGAGCCAATGTTATAGTAAGGATGCTTTGTTTTACGTCTCTTGGGACCATTGGCCTTTCTGGTCTGCTCACCACACACAGCATCCTCCTGCTGAGGCGGGAAGGTGGGCTTGGGCCAAGAGGCAACCCAGCAGGTATCTGGAGGCTGCTTTGAAGTGATTGTGGCTTTTGTCCTGCAGCCACAAGAGAGTTTGCTTGCCTTGTTGCCTCAGGATGGCTACATTTATGTGTCAGCATTTATTCTCTTGAGCTGTGACAAGGGTCCCAGTCTTTTTGTCTGTCTCTCCACCCTCTGCAGCTGCCGTGAAGAACTTGGAGGGGAGTTCAGCAGAACGGGGGAGAGTCTGCCTGCCAAGGTCACAGCAGAACCAAATGGCACCCTGCTCCTTGCAAACAGCACCTCTGGAGACCTGGCCGCAGCACACAGGCTGGCAGCTCGCCTCTACCATCTGGACGGGTTCAAGAAGTCTCAGGTGGCTGCTTTTCTCCAGAAGAAGTAAGATGGCCTTGAAAGTCTTCAGTTGCATACCTCCTTCCGTTTGGGGATTTGAATGTTTGTCACTTTTATTACTTGCACAGTATGCGCACGCGCGCACACACACACACACACACACACACACACACACACACGCTGAGTTTTAAGTTCTTTCATCACCCGAAGAAGAAGCTAATGCATTTCCAGGCCAGTGTTCTAGGAAACAGGGCCCTCTGCTGACTGAAAGCCATGTATGGAGGGCATTTTGAGCAGGTGGCAAAGCAAACACTGCCCTCCTCTGAGGCAGCCCCAGCAGCAGAATCTTGCGGTCCGGAAGCAAATACAAAGGACAGACGCTTTGGTCAGCAGGAGTCCAGCTGAGGGAAATATGAGGAAGAAACAGTAAAAGCAAGGGCCAAAGGGGCTGAATGGGGTGGCAGTAGCACTTTTTCTCTTTTTGCTTGAACTTTTGCATGGTCCTTGATGGCTCTTCCACGGTCATGGGACCTGGAGCGCAGGAGGAGGGCTTTAGGAGCCAGGCAAATGTGAGGAGCCCCTAGGAGGAGAATGAGAGGTTCTCTTAGAGGGCTTGGGGTGCTTGGGGTTTTCTGAGCTGTTCCTCTATATTTGTCCACAGCAATACCTTCAGTCAGATGGTAGCTGAGGCCTACCTTTCCTTCTTCCACTTCTCTGCGCAAACTCTGGATCAAGCCCTAAGGTAATGTACTCCTCGCCTTGGGCTGCCTTTCCATTTTCAAGAAGGGAAGTGAAACTTCATAGTTCATGGCCAAATTTCCTGCCCTTCCTGATTAGGAGGGAGGGTGCCCTTCCCTCTCCCAAATCCAGGAGGCCAAGAGCTAACTTGGGGAATGGCTGGATTATGTGGGGAGTAACAGAATGAAAGGTGGGAAGAGGAAAATGAGATGATATGGGAAGAAAAGATCAAGTGGCCTCTTCCTGCAGCTCTGCTACTAGTCAAGGCCTGCTTGACTGGGAGACCTTCCTTGAGCTGTGGGAAGGGACCTGGATGCAAGGAAAATCCTTGAAACCTTTGAGCAGAGGCAACTGTGTCCAAAGTCACCTCAGTCCTTGGCATACTAAAGGGAGCTGGCTGAGAAGCTCCATTGTGAAGGTAGAAGTGCCTCCCAGCCTCAGGATTTCAGCTGCCTCAGCCTCCTTGTATTGTCCCCATGCCAAATGGGCGACGGTGGAAGCCCTGAGGATGCTTCTTCCCCAGGCCTCCTCCTCCTCCTGCTGCTGCTGCTGTTTGCCCGTCCCGGGGAACAGAAGCATCCCAGCTGCCCTCCCTGCTCTTCTGTGCTTCACAGACCTTTCTCTTGGCAGGTCTTTCCTGAAGTCCTTTGTGCTCACTGGGGAGACTCAGGAGCGGGAGCGGATCCTGATGCATTTCTCTCGGCGCTACCACTGCTGCAATCCTGAGGCCTCTCTTAGTCCAGGTGAGACTCTCGGTCCAGACCTCGCAGTGCATAAGCTTTGGTTCGGGCAGCAAGCGCTCTTGTGCTTACCCTGCTTTTATTCTGGCCCCAAAGTCGGGATGGAGGTGGGATCATTGCTTTCCAGCTGAATCAGAGAAGCCAGGCTCAAAACAGGAATTGAATAGCTTACCTGTTAGCATATCATTGTCATTTTCCTTGGGCAGCCGGTAGACCAGTTCTCTTTATTTCCCTTTGAGCATACTGTATAGAAAGAGAACTGGTCTTCTGGGCTTCTTTCACCCTCTGTGGTTGTATGGTTTCAGGCAACCAGCAAATGATTTCCATCTCCTGGAATTTGGGGTAGCCAGATTAGTGTCTTCTCTTGGGGCTTGTTCACTGTTGTACTTACAGTTTTACCTCTTTGGCAACTGAAATTCCTCTTGAACGCTTTTTCCCATTTCTTCCTCCTACCTGGAAATCCTATTTTTCATTGCTTTGCGTTTATTCAAAGCATTTTTTTTGTGGTCCATTTACACCCAGTTTTATTTTCTTCCCTTAAAACCAGGAACATTATTAGTCCCATATATAATGTTCTTGAGGGAGACTGGATGGTCCATTGGGCAGAGGAATCCAGTGGATAGGGACGATTTTTCTGCATAGCGATTTAAAGGAATGTGCCAACCCCTTCATATTTTGCATTACTCTATATTTTTTTCTTTGAAAAAATGTTTTTATGTCCATTAATAAATATTTAATTGATTATTTTTGGATTTAAAAACATCCTCAATTTTGTTTTTTCCACTATCATTTTCTGGGCAAAAAGAGAATCCATTCGTGTCTTGATACCTTTTTGATGGAGTGGAAATTGGAATAGGTAGGGAGAAGGAAGAGGGAGAAAGGACATTGTGACCATTTCCAATTTACTTATATATTCAGCAGCTTTTTCATTAGCATCTCTGCTTCCTTTTTAAAGTACAGTGCCTAGATGCACCAGTATAAAATAGTATAATAGAACAGTTATTCTCTATGTTGGTGCAAAGCACACATTTGCCTATCATCCTACTCAAATGCATGGCCATTAAGCCAGGCACCCTGAACATATCCCTATATAGCATTTGCTTTTTCCTGTCCAGATTCAAGATTTACACTTTTCACAATTAAACATCCTATGCACTGATGGATTTGGCTCACTACTTTTCTAGGTTATTTTGAATTGTGATTCTCCCCTCTAAGTTAGTGTCATCTCTAAATTTGTGAAATCCCTTTCATCCCCTACGTCATTTCTGCAGCTGTTGAACAGCACAAGCCTGGCAACAGAGCCCTGGGCTGCTCCGCTTCAGGGCAAAGCAGAACCATTTCTGAACAACCTTGTGCTGCTGGTTGTTTAACTGATGGCTCATTCCCTGGACTGCAGAATCATCTAGGTCACAGTTGTTCATTTTATCCACAAGGATACAAGATGCTTCATTGAAGTCAACACACACTACATCCATGGCAATCCTTAGGTCTACCAAACTAGTCCCTTTGTCATAAACACAGCTAAGGTTTCTCTGACAGCTCTTGCTCTTTGAAAAACATGCCAACTCACTTTTTAAACACTTTCTGTTTTTTTCAAACAGACACATTCTCTCCTTCTATAGCTACATTCCAATAATAGGAGCTATCCCACAAAGTTTCCATTATACCTATGAAATTGTATTTGCTACAAAGACTTTACATTTTATTACGTTCTGAATCAAAGCTTGTGATCAAATTGTTTACTTCCTGTCCTCTGAGCTTTAGTGATTTTTAGTGGTAAAAATAGGATTTTATAGGAATAATGGTGACAAGTGAGATACGTGCTATGATTGAATAAGAGCAAAAAAACAGAACATGTTTAACATTAACAGAAAATAGAAATTTACATTGTATGTTAAAAAACTACAGTCCAACTCAGAAATAAAAGTGAAGAAAGTTGGTAGAGACCACCTGGATTAAAAATAAGTGGAAGAACAATAAAAGCAGTGGCATTCTTGGTATCCACCATCCCCAAACCATCATGGAGAAGTTATAAAGTCTTCCAAAAGCAGATTGCAGGAATGAAAAGACAAATTTTCCTCTATGCCATCACTGTGCTAAACACATAATTCCCACAGCACCGTCTTATGCCTAAGGATATCTAATCATGTAGTAGGACTGTATTACTATTATTCTTCTCATCTTTTCCATTATCTACTCTTATTGGTATCTTATGACTACCACTTGTTGGTTGTATCTTATGACTTATGATTGAATCTTATCATTGATGATTTATTACTTTGTTGCTTGTATATATACTGAGAGCTTATGCATTGGAGACAAATTCCTTGTGTGTCCAATCACACTTGGCCAATAAAGAATACTCAACTCTATTCTATATTCTATTCTATTCTATTTACATCTCAAGATGTGATACTTAAGAATAATACAAAATGTCTGTCTGAGAAAAGAAGGAAACCAGCACTTCCAGTTCATGTAGTAGAGAAAAAAACAACTGAACGTTGATGGCAAATCTTAAGATTCAGTTCATTTTCTCTGGCCTTTTGTTTTAATAAAGGGTCAAATTCCCTGTTTTGCTGACATTTCAAATTAGTTGTGGGAGAAGCCTATGGAATCTCTCATATCTCTCTTCAACAGCCTTTTTTTCTGCAGATGCTGTGCATACACTCACCTGTGCCATGATGCTCCTCAATACCGACTTGCATGGGCAGGTAAGGAGACTCTCAGAGGAAGGAATCTTCACTCACTTCGGCCTTTTACAGTGTATGAACAAAGAAAAACTATTTGTGGGAAAGGTTATATGGTACCCATAGAATAGGGTTGATGTGATTGTTCTTGTTTAGATGTGCAATATGGACAGTGCAGCATCTTCAATTCTCTTTTTCTCTCTCATCAACATGCTTCTGGAATCAGAATATTGGCCGAAGCATGAGCTGTCAGGACTTCGTTGTGAATCTCACAGGCTTAAATGATGGCAAGGACTTCCCCAAAGAACTGCTAAAGGTATGTGTAGCTTCCTTCTATGCAGGCAATGAAAGGGATGCCTGTAGCCCAGCAGGTGTCGAACCTCACTTCTAGCCAGTATGGCCAATGGAGAGAAAGCCTTAGCACTCTAATTCAGCAACCCGCCCCATGTAGCAGTAGTGCCCCTCATGCAGTACTGACCCTGGGGGCTCAGTGGTTAGATTGCAGGCAAACTGCTCACAGCCTGGAGTTCGATCCAGACGGGGCTTGAGGTTGACTCAGCCTTCCATCTTTCTAAGGTCGGTAAAATGAGGACCCAGATTGTTGGGGAGAACGTGCCGAGATTATAACTGCCCAGAGAGTGCTCTAAAGCACTATGAAGCAGCGTATAAGTCTCAGTGCTGTTGCTATTGCTCTTCATCAAATGCTCTCTGCAGAGGACTCAGCTCCCATTCTCTGGGAACAATCAGCCAGTTCCCACAGTTGCATCATTGGGAACGTCAGTGGTGGTGTTCTTGGTAGGAAAAGGTGCTCATGTTTTTTTTTTACTATTTATTTATTTGTATGCTGTCTTTATTATTTTACAAATAATTCGAGGTGGTGAACATATCCAGCACACTTCCCTCCTCTTACATTCTCCATAACAACAACCCTATGAGGTGGGTTGGGCCAAGAGAGAGTGACTGGTCCAAAGTTACCCAGCTGACTTTCATGGCTAAGGCAGGACTAGAATTCACGGTCTCCTGCTTTCTAGTCTGGTGTCTTAACCACTAGATCAAACTGGCTCTAACTGGTTGAATGTATCAGAAGACATACATATAGTCCTAATTATTTTTGTAGGGAATGTTCCACACCTGTAGTGGAACAAGGCAGGGACAAATTCAGCTTATTGTTGCCTGGAGGTTACAGAGTTCATATTACAGACTGTATTTACAGACACCAAGGAAGGAGAGAATCAAATGCCAACGCTCAGGTTTGTATGTCCAGCTTGGATGTAGCCATTCCATGTTCTTCCTGAGGAAAGGAGTGGTACAATATGGCCATCAGCTGGGACATGTCATACCAGCCTGAGGAAGATGTCACAAGACTGCTATTGTGGCTGCCTACACCATGGCCAAGCAGAACAGGAGTGTTTGGACAGCTCCCTATAAGGCAGCAGTGCCGTGCCAAGGGCTACAGCAGAAGAGGTTGTGGCCTCGTCCTTTTTCTGGGCTTATCATGGAAGCACCTGGGAAAGCAGAAGGCTGGCTAGATGGTAGTTCAGCTCTCTGATCCAATTTATTGGCTGTTCTAGTGCTGTGAATCAGAATAACAAAATAACAGAGTTGGAAGGGACCTTGGAGGTCTTCTAGTCCAACCCCCTGCTCAAGCAGGAGACCCTATACCGTTCCAGACAAATGAGTGTCCATCTCTTCTTGAAAACCTCCAGTATTGGAGCACTCCCAACTTCCAGAGGCAAGCCATTCCACTGTTCTCATTGTCAGGAAATTTCTTCTTAGTTCTAGGTTGGTTCCCTCCTTGATTAGTTTCCATCCATTGATTCTTGTCCTGCATTCAGGTGTTTTGGAGAACAGGTTGACCCCCTCCTCTCTGTGACAGCCCCTCAAATACTGGAATGCTGCTGTCCTGGCACCCATAGTCCTACTTTTCATTATACTAATCATACCCAATTCCTGCAACCATTCATTTTTTGTTTTAGCCTCCAGCCCCTGATCAGCTTTGTTGCTCTTCTCTGTACTCTTTCTAGAGTCTCAACGTCTTTAATCTGCCAGTGCACCAATTTTAACAATCTACCATTTCTTTGTCTGTTTGTTTGTTTATAAAACATTTATGTAGCTGTCCATCTTATACCAAACACCGGGCAGCTCCCAATCAAGAATTAAAACAGCATAAATATATAAAAACTATTAAAACCATCAACTTAAAAAACGAACGGACAAACAAAAACCTTGGCAGCCAAGCGAAGTTTCCAACAGGGAATCCCCTCATCCTATCCCAGGCCTTCGGGGGAAGCTGGGTCTTCAGTGCTTTACGGGAGCCTAGGAGGGTCAAGGCCTGCTGACCTTCAGGGGGGAAAGGTGTTCCTTAGGGCAGGGGTTGCCATGGAAAAGGTATAGTTATCCCTCATTCCCCCCCTCCCACCCCAAAATCAGGCATTCAGTTTCAGTCCTTGTTAGAATCTATATCCCAACTTTGTTGACAAGGCAGCTTATAAAAAAAATACAAGATACCAGAAGGGTCATTTCTTAAAAATGGCAGCAGAATCTCCCATCAGCTGTTATGTACAGGAAAATTAACTTCATGCGCCTTCAGCAGGTGGCCTGTGAGGACAGCTGTGGTTTTGGACACAGCCGCACTTGCCCTCTGCAACTGTCCAACAGAGAGCAAAAGGGGCACATGAAGGGCAATGCAGAGAGTGCCGACCCCCAACTAGTCCTGCGTGAAGAACTAGTGAGATCAAGGGTCTGGCCGTAGGGAAGGGGAGAGGCTCTCCCTAAATTCACGCCCCTGAAGACATCGGCCAAGTCAGTTGGAGGGCTAGGTCCAGCCACAGACCAGATGCAGTGCCCGGATTCTTCTGGGCTCCCAGCTTTTCTTCATAGCTGATAATAGCTGAGGAAGGATTGGCGGTACTTTTGAGAACAGAACCCCAAAATTGGCAATTTGGGGAGGGGGAGCTTATCTTGAAGGGTGGGGGTTAGATGCATGGGAAGTAACCTTACATCTCAGCTTTTTTGTATCTGTCCAGGCATTATATAACTCCATCCGTCATGAGAAACTGGAATGGGCTACGTAAGTAAAAGCAAGATAGCGTGGGGGTGGGGCTTTGAGGAAGGAGAAGGGAGGGCTGAGGTCCAAGAGGGAAGGCGTGAAAGCCCTGGAGCCCCTCCCTTCTCCCTTATAAAGGAGATGGGTGGGGGGTTGCTCTGTATAAGCTGTGTGGGTGGGTAACTGTGACTCTGCAACATCGGTCTGTAATTCAGAAGTTTTAAGTATTAAGCCTGGAGCGGTGGATGTCAAGAAGGACAAGGAGAAGGGAATGTTTCCAAAAACTAAACTTGGTGCAGAGGAGCTTGTTTGCTCCTATCGGAAGCTTAAATTGTGCCTCAAATTGACGTCCGGATTGTGCTGTGCTGCCACAGGAAAGGAGGAGGCCCAGTAATATTTCCCAAGTTCATTGCCTGCTCAGGGTAGAGGATGCTTAAGATTTCAGGATGGCCCAGAAGGTTGAAAGCTGTGAGACGGCAGGAGGAATGCCCAAGTGGCATGACAGAAAAACACTGATTTTTCAAATTGCGAATGGTGTCTTTCATACTTCCTTAAATTTATTTTTATTATTTATTTAACTTTTACCCCACCTTTGCTATTTTTACAAATAACTCAAGGTGGTGAACATATTCAACACATCTTCTTCCTTCTCCTATTTTCCCCACAACAACCTTGTGAGAGGGACTGGCCCAAAGACACCCAACTGGCTTTCATGTCTAAGGCGGGACTCGAACTCACGGTCGCCTGCTTTCTAGCCTGGTACCTTAACCGCTAGGCCAAACTGGCTCTAAATTTGAAAGGCATTTCCTTCCATTCCATCATAAACACAGATTTTTCTCCCAACCTCTTTTTTTGACCCTTAGTATAATTAAGTCATCCGAAATCACACTGTCTGGTTCCCAGACAGAAAAGGCTCCTTGAGGGGGTCTTTTTTTATTTTATTTATTTATTTATTTATTTATTTATTATTTTAATTTGTATACCGCCCTTCTCCCATAGGACTCAGGGCGGTTCACAGCATATTAAAAACAAATAATATACCCAAAATACAGAAAATACACAATACAAAAATACAAAAGAATAAACCCTGATAAAAGCCGAATTAAAACCAAATATTCCCAGCTGTGTTTCCGA